ACCATGATAGATATGAATCATCTCGATACAAATTTCTCAATACGTTATAAGATATGATAATAATAGCTAATTATAACAATTAATCAGATAATCGATTTTGACGATTATAACCAATTAAGGCTATTTATAAGATTGTTCATGGTCAATTAAGTTAGACATATTTGATTAAAGCTACTAATGTGATCTCATATGCTTCAATCAATAGTAATTACTTAAAAACATGTAATTATGACAAAAGTAAAAGGACGCCATTGCTCTAAGTGGTAGAGCACGCCTTAAGACATCCATTAGCTGTCAAATAACGCCTGAATTTCAATGTCAAACCTCCCACCTAAACATTGGCACGCAATTCATTTAGAAATCATTCTACCCACTCCTACTTTTGGTTTCTATTTCGGATTTGTGGACAAAATATAAATCTCCCGCCTATATTTTCATTCTAATGATTCCAATTTGTAGGATTTGTGTATAAATTCAAAATTCCCTCTCAATATTAGGTAATGAAATTAGACTACAATTCAAGAACACTGGCTATTATTTCATCTCCCACCCATATCTGGAATATATTTCAAGAATACTTCCATGCATTATATAAGTCCCACCCATAAGTAGGTCTTATATCTCTTGAATGTATTTCTATTTATTCTTATTGTAGCTATAGACGAGCTGTGGGTGATTGAACTCCTTAGTAGCAGATGATACTTTCCCAAGTGTTTTGGCTTATAAGTTGCTTGCAAAATGAAGAAGAAGAAAAATAATGCTGGAATATCAACTCAGTCTCAAACGTAAGTCTTTTTTCCTGACATTCTGATGATTCCAATTTATAGGAGGTGTGTATAAATTCCAGAATTCATGAACCATGTCCGCTAGCAAATAACTTTGTTTCGTGTATTTGTGTACAAGCTTATTCTTATATGCAGAAGCCAGTTAAGAGCAATGGCAGTGGTGAAACATTTAACTGGAGAATATATCTTGGAAGTTCAGAGAAAATGCTTGCAATTCAACAAATATATGCACGTCTCAATTTCCAATTCAATTGTTGATATTTTGTGCCTTCAATGAAGACTAATGGGGGTCTATACATAGCCAATATTATTTTCTAGCAATCAGCAGTTGAGCAATTAATGATACAATGGAACAGAAATAATTATTGCCAGCTGCGAATGTTGTTCATATGTCTACTAATGGTCGATAATTCTTTTATAAATCAACTTCAAACCTTTTAAGTATTACAACAAATCCAAGATAAAAGATTAAAATCAAGTCAAAGCATCCCATACTTTCTAAGCATTACAAGAAAAGCTGATAAAAGATGGTCTTATAGCAGATCAACAACATAAAGCGTAAACAAAGAACCAGAAACATTGATAATAGCTAATTTTTGCTTCTCTACTAAAAAATACCCAAAAACTGGTCTTACAGATGATTGGACTCCATATTTTAGACCTTAGCTAACAAAATAAGGTATAGACACATAACTAGAAATACAGAATACTTCACCATAGTTTGTGAAGCAACTACTTCTTTCATCATTGCCCTAATCTTCACGATTTCAGCTCTTGTTCGCATGACCTCATCCCGAATTTGGCCTTGCAATTTGTCAATCGTCGGTGCAGTAAGGTGATCGTCGGATTTCACTATCTCCAGGGCATTTGCATATTTATACCCCATCCTATCCATGATCGGCAACGCTAGATAGCTAAACTTAGTCAGTATGACCAAAAAGGTGGATGGTTTTTTAACATTAATTTTCTATAAACTCTTTTTCTTAATAGATTGACCTTACCATTTCACCCGAGCATACATAGTAGTGCCTCCCTCAATTTGCCTCTAACTTTCCCACCACCATAATTCGGCAGAAGCCAATCTTGTACTCACATAAGCGGTCTAGATATTTTGCAAATGATGATGCTGAATTTGAAGAGCTATTGGCCATTATTTTTTTCGAGCTACACTATGCAAGTTGGAATAGTGTGAGAGAGTTAGGCCCAACAACACTATATGTAGACATTAATGGTGTCCAGTAATTTTTTTTTAATTCATCATGAGGATTGCAGGTGCACTTGCATTTATGCCATTGTGGGCAACCAACGCTTCATCCAATTCGGTCTTATCGAAGTCACTAGAGTATGTCAGACTTAATAGATGGTAGTTGCAGTTCACGTGGAATATGAAAATAAACAAATTATGATAACCAATTACATAAACATGTAGTACTTGTAGTCATAGTTTTCCATTTCGTCTAACCTATACTTGGATTAATTTGAATCTTTTCACAATTATTTTCACATAAAAACACATTACTTGTAGTCATTTATTCTTCCATTTTGTCTAACTTGTACTGTGATTAATTTGAATGTTGTCACAATTATTTTCCATTTTTTTTGCCATGACCAGTTATATAGACATTAATGTTGTCACAAAACAAAATGTCGAATTTCAATTTGGATTTCAAAAACATCACTAGACTTACTACATTGCTAATAACCCCTATCATTAACCCGCTTACAATGTTTTGGGGTTCAAAAGGAAAACACATGACAAACTCATACTAGATAATCACATCATTGTCTTCTAAGGATAACTCCTAACTAATTCAACTTCACAAAAGTAGGAGATGACTCCCAACCAATTGAGCTTCACAAAAATTCCCACTTCCACTAAAGTTACCACATATTCATGCCTGTCAAAGCTCTTGACTTTCAATTTCATCACCAAAAAGAAAACTATCAGAAGGAAGCCAATTTGGATGCACTATGGCTGAAATATCTCTTGAAGGCCTTCAAATTCATCAATGCAAGTTTGTCTAGCTTCATTGGATGCATTCACAAATAGTTCAATTGCTCGGCTTCTCCTAGCTTGATTGGATATTATCTGAGTCAATGCAAAGGCAAAAATCTCATTTAAACAAAAAAAATCGAATGCACACACATGAAAATTCGAGATAGTTAATGAATGAGTGAACTACCTACCTCAATTTTGATCCCCTCCTTCATTTCATCGCATACTTCCATGTATTTCATCACGAACATAGCAGAGTCCTACCTACCAATGTTCGTGTGCAGCCAAAAAAGGTTATATAACAATTCACAGATTGAAAAACCAGGTCTTAAACTATTCAGCCAAACATAAACATAAACAAATTACTTGTTGATTTGCCTTGGGCACCAGCTAGGACTCGAGTACTCAAAGTCATTAAAGTCATATTTGAATTTTTCCCCATATCCCGCATATAGTGCACCACTAATTTTTGAACACTACAAAAGATGACAATACCAATAGCTCCAAATCAATTCAAACTCTTCATTCTACACACATCAAATATGATACATTGATGAAATATGTCATGTAAGAGTTTTCATTTCTTATCACCACCTTTGCATTCATCAACCGCAATTCATTGAAATCTTCGTCAGGGTATGGGTCAAATATCATAACCTTATTCTCCTTCAAGTAAATGACTGCAAAATGCTAGTGTTTTCCATCCCAATTCAGTGGTATACAAATCTGTAGATATCAGCAGTGAATGAAATTACTAATCCCATATTTTTTAATACATCACATTCATTAATAACTAATGAGATTTGTTACTTTCTCACACTCTATAATCAAGCCACCAAATTTGTCCTCAGTTAGGTAATAGATATACAGCTCATCCAGTGTCAACTCATTTTTTGTCACCATTTCCTTCAACAAACAATTGCAAATATCAGCCCAAATCCAAAATCACATAAGGTGCTGACACCTTCTACCAAGCAATGAACCCTATAGAAATGATTGTTGAGTTCAATTTATGTTCTTAAGAGACTTACCGCTGACCAACTCGGCATGTGCCACACGCGATATGATGCATTCCCAGAATTTCTCCTTGCACGTGCCATGAGCAAAGCGGAGTAACAATTAACAATCTAGAGGAACACATTGTCAGTATACTAATTTTTCACAATTAATGTTTTGTGATAGAAATACTTAATTATGTGCGATTTGCCTCAGCTTCGACACACATATAAGGCAACAGACAAAGGATATGCTCTCGGTTAGCTATTTGGCCTCTAATTGTAACGACAGTCTGCCTGCACGTGTTTTTTTTTTTAGTCAGATATCTATGTATGCATATCAACACCATAAGGGCAATGTATTTCTAAATATAATTTTCGGCAACTTTCACTTACTCCAGCGGCAATGTCATATACATGAGAAAATCATGAACCACAACACTAGCAGTTTTGCAATTATCAACTCTCTCTCCCCTTATTGTCTAGAAAGCTCAAAATGGAGGTTAATGTTTGCATATTAGTGCCTCATTTTACTATTATGGATGAGCAATTTAATTCACATTATTCAATATCAAGTTTCTTACCTCTAAAGCTCCTTCTGCTCTTCTCCGTGCTTCATTCCTTCTTTGGGTCTATACTGATACCCTTCCTGCTAGTCCTTTTGGTTTTCTTTCATGTGCCCAGCTTGGTGTTTGTTTCTTGACCGTGTATTCATTTGTCGAGTTTGATGACATCTCCGAATCTAGTTCACCAATTTCAGGTGATTTTTTTGAGATCTTTCTTTTGGGTTCATTCTCCTGGACACTAACAGCCCCTACTTTGTCTTCCAAGAGTTGTACTCTTTAGTTGAGAAGGCCATAAGGTCACCAAAGTTGTTACCTTTTTCAACGCCGATAACCATATGACTCTCTCTTCTTCCCCTATTCTTAACCATCATTTGCTTCATGGATTGTACTGGTGTGCTAGGAATGTGATTATTTTTTTTCAACATAGTAAAATCATATCCCATTTTTATTTCCTGCTCGCTTTCCGCTCAGCATCCTCTGCTTTACAGTGAATCACCTTCATACGACAACCGTCACAGTAGCCCACACTAATTCTTCGTAGCTCTTTCATTATCCCAGACTCTAGATGATTCAGGGACTTGGATAAACCCACTACAACGTCCATAAGTTGTTTTTGACTTTCCTTTATCTCAATTGTGCATCTTTCAAAATAGTTGAGTTAATCCTCCATCTCCTCATAATTTTCAGCTTCCTCTTGGATTTCCATCTCTCTACTACTGCTGTTGTCGCCGCCCTTACGCTTACCTGATGGATAGTTTTCTCCACAACCTCTTTTGCTAGATGAACTCAAGTAGATGCTGTTGGATTGCCTCACTCGCCGCACCATTATCACAAGACTTCTATGTCAGCAAGTCATAAGACTAATAAGACTTGGTGTCAGTAACCCTATGTGTTCTTATATGTTAGATTCATTTTTTACCCTTCAAACAATTTATATTTTTTGCTTGTTTGGTCAAATGAAGGCTTTTACTTCTATAACTGGTATCCAATAACTACATATTAAATCGTCCCACTTCTTGTAAGTACGATCCAATGGCCAAATCACACACATGTTCACTTTATGCTTCAGATTAAATTTCTACCACAACAAACATCAGAATTATTTCTACGTTGTAAACGCGTCCTTTTTTACCTATATTCTAAGAAATTAGCATTTTCTTTCATTCACTGATTTACGGGCTTTGTCAATTGTCCCTACCCCAAAATCCCAATTGTCACATCAACAATTTGACTCCATGTGATTTAACATACACACGTTAATGCACCTCAGTTGCATGGTTGGTTACAAGTTGTATTTTGAAGAGGAGGATAGGCTGGAAAACATGTATTAAAACATGTGATAAGTTTTGGAAATGGTTAGCTCTACCTTATACTCTTAGTTAATTCTTATATCTTTGACTTAAGTTCCTGCAGAAAAAAATAGTATAAAATACACGAAATTCCCTTGTTGTATATTGAAAGACACAAAATTCCCTTATTCTTTAAAAATTCCCACATAAGCACCTTATATTTTAAATTAAAATCAAAAGGTAAAATCTGACCTGTTATCGTCATATCTTTGTTTTTTCTTTTTTTATTCAGAAAATTTATTTCTTTATTTCCTCCCAAATACAGCCCTTCTTTTTTATCTTTTTCCTTTTTTTCATTTTCCTTTCTTTTTCTTTTTCTTTTTTTCTTCCCCCTCCGTTACCACCTCTCTTGTAAAACTCACATTTTTTTTGTTATATTCACTTTTTTTAAAAAAATTTTTGGTCATTAACTAAGTGGTAATTTTCTATGGGTAAAAAGTAAAAAGATTCGTAGAGAATGTTAAAGGGTAATTGGGGGTTAACGAGAAGATAAGATATGATAAACGAAAATCCTAAACACGTAACCACTATATAGTGGGTGGTTATTGGGGTTTTAAAACACTTATCAAAATAATTAAAAGTAATAACATCGTTCCTAAATCTCATTATCTGCCTTCTCTTAGAAAAAGAACCATCTAGGAATAGAGAAGAAAAAGAAGATGTCGTCGTCGAACAAGCAGGCAACTAAGCATCTAGATCTAAACGACACAAGTTTAAAAGATTTAAGGTAATCCCACTCGAACAGTCAGATAAAAGTGGGTGGCACTTACCCTTCTGAAATTTTAAAAGTTCAAAGTGAAATTTTTATTGCTAATCCTATTTTGATGTGTCAATTTGAAATTTATTTGATTAAATAATTTACTTGAATATTTATGTAAGTTCTATTTTTGCTATATAAAGATGGATCATGTGAATTATTTGAAACATTTTGATATGTTATTATATGCAAAATAAGTGGTATCTTTTGTGAAATCAAAGAACTATACAAGTGACGTGTGAAATAAATTTATGCCGAGTAAATCTCAAAACAGTCATGTAATAAACGGTAAGGGCTATAATCCTATCTAATGATTATGATAGTCTGGTATAGAATCTGGCCGATTGACAAACTCATGGTAGTTCGGTATAAAATCTGATCGATTGACGATTATGGTAGTTCGGTATAGAGGCCAACTGATTGACCTATGTATGTAATGAGACAAATCGCTAGTCATGAAACCTATTGGTCGCCCACCTGGAAGAGATTTAATCTCTAAACTGAGTATTCAGAAGTCGGTTATTGCATGTACTTGTTATGAGCTGTTATGAAATGATTTATGACTCTTTGACATTCATGTACAGTTATGAATGAGATGTTTACAAATTGCTATGTCGCCGATTATTACTTATTGTTTAACGAATAATGTTATTTTCAATAATTATGCATGTGAATCGTGTGTAAACAATTTGATATATATTTATATATATGTATATGTAAAGCTATGGTTGCATGATTCAACAGAGGGGTAGATGCTACTTATTGAGCGATTTATCGCTCAACCCAATTTTTACCACTTTTGCAGATCCTGAAGAATATGAGTTGGTTTATGTTGAAAACCCTGAGAATGATTTTTATTAGTTCTAAGTGGACAAAAATTAGCAGTCTAGCTACTTTTGGCTGTTAGTTTTATTTAATTTCTTTTCCATTGTCTCATCTAGAAAATAATTGTACGAGCTTGTTGGATACTTGTAGACTATCTTCCATTTGAAATTTGCACCACACTACATTTAGTAATGCTATTTAGTACTTTCTAAATTTTAGTCTAGTTTAATGTTGCCTTGTATTCTTGAGCGGAACTTAAGGATACGTTGGATATCACATGACTGCACGTGCGGGTTAGGGGCGTGACATTTCTCTTCCTCAATTTTCCTCCCCTGCCACCCACCACCCACCATTACTCAAATTGCAAATTGGTCAAAATCCAATCTCTTACTCCCATCTTGTAGATTGCAAGGGCACTATGATATCCAACGGACGAAGCACTTCTTCCAACTCATTCCATTCAAGATCTTCAAAGTCAACATCTTCATAGACCCACCTGTACCAACCCATTTCCTTATCAAACTCTTTTCTAGCATAATACTATCCTTCAAATAATCCCAAAACTTCTTCTCCCACCAACCATTTGTGATGGTATCGAGCCAAACTAAGGGAATGATGAATCAAAACAGTAAAAATAAATGAAACAATAATATGCCTTCAAATTAAGACAAAGCTCAATATTGCTTTCTATTGAAATAAGTAACAATACATATTCAAAGAGGGATGCAGATAGGAAGAAGATGAGAAAGAAAGAAGAAAAGAGAAGAGGAAATTAGAGATAGGAATGATTCTCCCAAATCTACTTGTTACAAAATATTCCTCTTGTCCTAACAAAGCAAATCAGACTATATAATTGCTATTGCTAACTAACTAACAATCAAAAGCATCAATGACACGAGGACACGTGGCATTCTTCCTGGAAAATAACAACAACTACTCCATTCACATTGTTTCTAGTATAGGCATGTTTTTGCTCCCACACCTTTGACTTCTTCCAATTCATTTCACATCTTCCTTGCTGGAACCAACCTTTCAACTTATTTCTTCCTGTTTCAATTCCTACTCGATGACAATTGCTCCCCTTTCAATCAATCCTGACCTCAAGATTGAAATCCAAGGAACTCTCTTTCAATAGCTTCTACATCCTCCTATGTAGCTTCAGCAATAGAGGTTTCCCACCATCGAATGAGCCATTGGATAGCTACAACATTCTTCTTTTTGACAATTTTTTGATCCAATACAGCTAATGGTTCCACCATTAGATGTTCTTTCTCATCTGTGTTGGGCAGTTGAAGCATTGGAGCTGCCTTCTGTCCTACTTTCCTCTTCAGCAAAGATACATGGAACACAAAATGCACCTTGGTCCCTTTTAGCAATTTGAGCCTATATGCCACATTTCCTATCTTCTATATTACTTGGTATGGACCAAAATACTTAGCAGACAACTTGGTGTTGTCTCTCAATTTCACTGAAGTCTGTCTGTATAGCTATAATCTTAAGTAAATACAATCTCTCATACTAAATTTCCCCTCACTCCTCCTCTGATTAGCATACATTTTTATCCTATCTTGAGCTTCCTGTAAGTTTCTATTGAGTAATTCATCCAGTCTCCGACTGTCTTTTAAATGATCTTCTACTGAAACTATCTTGGAGTGAGCATAATGTCCAAGAGCCAATTGATGGGGTGGCATCCCATATAAAGCTTCAAAGGGGATCATGTGTATGGTTGTATGATAGGTAGTATTATGCCACTATTCAGCAAGTGAGAGCTAGGCATTCCACCTCTTAGGTTCTAGGTGAGTCATGCACCTCAAATACATTTCTAACATCTAGTTTACCCTCTCAAATTAGTCATCTATTTGAGGATGCATGGTATGTAGTACTCACACTCAGTTCAGACCCCAAAAAGGAAAACAGTTCAGTCCAAAACTGGTTAGTGAAGACATTATCCCTGTCAGAAAGCATGCTCAAGGGAACACCATGTAGTTTGCAGTTTTGATCCAAGAAGATTCTAGCCACTGAATAAGCATCTAATGAATAAGACAAGCTAACAAAGTGTGCTGACTTGGTAAACATATCCACCACCACCATAATGATGTGAGACCCCGGTTAGTCCTTCATTTTGATATTATGGGTATTCAAGAGTATTAACTGTTATTTTGTACTAATGATATAGAAAACCCTAATTTGGGTTATGACTAAAACTTTAGGGCCTATTTGGAACCTAAATTTTTTGGAAATTTGTCTAAAACTTTACTGTAATGCACTGTAGAAGTTTTTGAAAAATTTTTGTAGAAGTTTTAAGGTGAAAAACTTTTTTGTAAAAGTTTTTGTAAAGTGGAAAAACTTTTTTTCCTTTTTTTTTTCTTTCTTTTTCTTTTTCTCTTTCTCTTTCCTTTTCTTTTTCTTTCTTTCCTTTTTCTTTTCTTTCCTCCCCTTTGCTTCTTCTTCCCAGCAGCAACGCAGCAACAACACAACGCAGCAACGCAGCAGCAACCTCCCAGCAACCCAACAGCCTGCTCCACCTCCAGCACCTCTGCCAAGGCCTCCTCCAGTCCCTTCTCCCACGCCTCCACCTGCTCCACCTCCGGCAAGACCACCAACGCCTCTACCAGCCCCTCCTCCTACTCTCCCGCCTGCTCCACCCCCAATTCCACTACCAGCCCCACCTCCTGCACCACCACTTGCTCCTTCACCAGCACCTCCTCCACCGCCACCCCCCTCTGCGCCTTCGCCCTCTGTCCCGCCACCCCCTCCCCCCGCCACACCTCCTGTAAAAGCTCCTCCTCCCTCTCCCTCTGCCCGCAACCCCATTCCCCTACCCCTGCAAAAGCTCCCTCGCCACCTCTCCTTCTCCCTTTTCCTCTGTCGCCACCTGAGTTTTGCAGCAACAGAAATGATTTTGCTGGCAGGATAAACAGCAACAGCCGAGTGTAATTTTTTTTTTTTACAATTTTTCTTCTCCCCAAGCTGCGGGAAGGGGAAGGTGGCGGGGAAAGGCAGAGGGAAAGATGGGAGGGGGGAGGGAGAAAGAAAAAATAAAGAAAAAAGAGATCTTAGAAACCAATATATCGGTCAAAGGGGGAGGGGAGGGAGAGAAAAAAAAAGAGGAAGGCCGGCAAAAGTTGGTCGGAATAGTTACCGGCGCCGGAAGCGGTGGTGGAGGTGGTGGCCGGTTGGGTGGGGGAGGAAAAAGAAGAAAAGTTGAAGGGAAAGTTTTTTTTGTATTATTTTGAAGTGTGTAAGTAAAAAACTTTGATAAGTTTTTTGGGGTTCTTGTAGCAAAAGTTGTTAAAAAACTAGTAGCTAAAAAACTTGGCCAAAAACTTCACTTCCAAACAAGCCCTTAGTTTTTATATTAATCACAAGTTTGAATTGTAATTCATGTTAGGTATTCTAGTGTGTATTTTGGTACAGGTAAGTATAGGATTTGATTTATTTTACAAAAAATAAGTAGGTTTAAAAATGTTAGAAAACCCTAAATGAGCAAAACCTTTAGTGTTATAATCTATTAGAAGTCCTAAGTTGGGTTTAAAACCCTAATTTTGCCTATGACAAGAAAGTTGTTGTTTCGTTGCTTTTATGTGAGATAAGGTATGATTAAGTAAAGGTGGTTAAAATAGGAGGGTGATTAGTGAAGCAATTAAGTATGATTACATGTTTTGGACTAGATTAAGTTTGTAACCTATGGAGTTAATTGAAAGTTTTTTATATATTTATGAGCAAGAGTGTAAGAAAGAGAAAGTGATGTTGTAGGGGCTAAGGAGCAAAATTTAAACTTTTGTGTGATTGGTTGTAGTAGAAAATATCTCTTATGAGCTTTGACTTATATGTATCATAGGAAATTGTAAGATAACCATAAGACTTAGAACAAAACAAAAATAAAGAGAAAAAGAGAGAGAGAGCCGAGATTGAAGCTTGAAGAGGAGAAACAAATTTCTTCCAAGTTCATTCAAGTTTAGCTATCCATCTTGATCTTGGAGCTTAGGGCAACAACTTTGGTACTTGATTGTTGTAGTTCCATCACTTACAAAATTTACTTGAAGGTAAATCATCTCACTTGGAAGTTGGTTTTTGGGTGAATGAATTTTGAAGCCATGAAAGTGATTCTCTTGTTGTGATTGTGCACTTTTATGGTTTATATGGTGAATATTGAGTAGTTTAATGGTTTATTTTAGTGGTTTATTGCTGCATAAATTTCGGTCAAGGCTATGAAAAATTAGGGTTTCTTGCTTTATGGTTCTTTAAGTTGATTTGGTTGATGGTTTGACTTGTTATGTTGGTAGTAGGGTTAAATTAGTCAAAAAAACTTTAAATTAATTAGTATGGGCAAATTAATCCATTCATGTTATATTATCGTTTAAGGATAGGGTTATATAATTATGAGAGTATAAATTTATATTATTTATAAGAATAAATTAGTTTAAAATTTCATCATCCTACCTCTTAGTCATCCCGCGATAACTAATACCACCTCCTCCGTGCAATTATTTTATCCCATGAATAGGGGATTAATTCGGTTAGTTGGAATGTGTCATTTCGTATTTAAAATGCTATTAGGATTTAAGAGCAAAACAAACAACTATTGATATATAAAGTACACAATAATTTAATGACAACAAGTCACCAGTATAAAAGATAAATGACATACAAAATTTAATGTAGGTCGGCCCCATCACTAAACCTACATCCACAGAAATAAAATATATTCTTTATTATAAGAGAAAAATTGTATACAAGAATACATCTTGAACCCAAGTCCAACCCTTGTATACCATCTCTCATCTCCTAAAAACCGCCTCTCATCCCATGTATAGGGTTACAGATCGCCCTTGTGTGTCCCTTGTAGTATGCCAACCCCACTTATTTATAAACTACATTATTTGGCCAACATTTTAATAATAACAGGAAATAACTGCTAATTCCTAATCTGATTTAGAATAGAAAAAACTCCTATTCCTAAACTTAAACAAATAAGAAATTCCTTAACTACTATTTTAAGTAATTAAAATCAATTAAAAAACTAGTTACTTACAAAACAAAAAATATGCCTAAAAGAAATTAACCAAATTTCCTAATAAATACAACCAAACATGCGATGATAAATGATGATTAATTTAATTTTATATCATCCCATCAACCAAAAGAAAAAATATAAGTTTACAATAAATGTTCTTGACACGTTAAAATTGGTGTCTTGCATTTAATCTCGTCTATACAATCTCAAAACGCCTCATCTCTCACCTACAATTGCACCCGGGTGAGACTGCAGAGGACTTCAATCCAACCAAAACCATGGCACAGAAATCAATACAGAACTCGAAAGGCAGATCCATTGTACTGGTTCTTTAGTACGTACTTTTTTTTTTTTTTTTTTTTTTAGTACGTGGTACTTGCTTTGTAATCTGTCTTTTCACGTCTCCTCTTCTTCTACACCAAAACACACATTACACACACACACACCCTTTTTTAAAAAGTCTCTAGTCTATGGCCTCTTTCTTTTTTTCCATCTTCCCAATCCCAACTATATTTTTTTTTGTTTTTTGTATTTTTTGTTCTCCCCCTCTCCCTCTAGTTCTGCTAAACAGTTTTAAAAATTCGTGATCTATATATTAACTTTTATTAAAAAAATTTGGCTTTAGGATTACATATCGTTTCTTGTAGGCAGTTTCAAGTCGAGAGAGGTAGTACTTAGTTTTTTCTTTTGCTTTTTACTCCTGAATCTCACTGCTGTTATTGCTGTTTAGTGTTTCTGTATCTTTTTTTTTTTTGTTTTCCAAAAAGAAAGTTTTGTTCAGGCAAGATGTCTGGCCCTTTGGTTCAGCCAGTTCATGGCATCGTCAAGGAGGAGGTAAAGACCCACACCCTCGACTTTTTCATCCTTGATCTATTATGCACTTTTATTTCTGGCCCTTCTACTATGTGGTTTCTACTCAATCCATGGTACAATGCGTTTCATGGTACAATCCTGATCATGGACTCATTTAATAGTACAATCCTGTAGTTTGAGCAATGGCATACGGATCAGTTATCCCAGAAGCAATGTTGTACACTATACTCAATACGTATATTGGTTTGATTTCAGTAAGAAACTTAAAGTTCTTATTTCTATCAGCCCTTTAGTATATTGCCATATATTGATGAAAAGCCATGTTTGGATGCGATGAACATGACCTCTGTTGCCAATCGAGAGCGCTTAAATTTTCAACCTGGATCCAGCAGTCGAACGGCTGAAGTTGATGATACTGAATATTACACAATCTCTGGGACAAGGCCGTATTTTGATGTGATTCTTTCAAGAACACATGTCACTCCTCCATATCGATTGGTAATGTCTTTCTTAGCTGAATTCATATGCAGCTAGATAGTGATAGAGAATGTTTAGCAGACTATCAATTCATTCATGGCTATACAAATGGTGAATGTTGTGATGTATTGAGCTTAATTCATAGATAAAAACCAAGTAATGATTTCTCGGTTTCCTCTAGACTTAGTGACTTGGTGATTGTTGTACATCTTGTAAATACTCATGGAGGCAATTTAAGTCGAAGATACTTTGATGGTATTGTATCCTGGAAAGCAGATAAAATGATCAAGAATTTGTAATTTCTTGCTTTCAGAACCTTCCCACTAGAATGGTGTCAGAGCTTCCTTCTAAGTTAGTCCCTATGGTTCTAACTTCCTGTGGCAAGACATGGGAGACGTTTTACCATGGACGAGGACGAGGCTCAACCAAAAGATTTGGCTGGAAAAGATTTGTAATTGATAATGATCTGAGAATGGGAGATTGCTGTTTCTTTGAGCTCATGGAGTGCAGCACGACGAAAATCGTATTCAAAGTTATCATCCTCAGAGGTACCCTGCCTTTGGGTGAAGGAGCTGGAGATGGTGACACTCCGGAGACTGCAATCTTCATTGAATAGAACAATCCATTAGATTTATCACTACCTGTGATAGCTATTGGATCTTTCAACCATTTAGAGCTCCCACGTCTATTTACTGATTATCAGTTTATCACCTTTTCTGGATGCTAAACATTTCATGTAACAAAATTTCTAGATCCACCCGGATGAGACCTGTGAGGTAAATTCATTTGTTTTTGTCATCTGTCTACACTTGGTAAATAATCTGAGAACCATCTAACCTGACAAGTCATTTACGGCTGAATTCTGAAAGTTATGAGATGCTTTGGCTTGCTACTGCAAATGCCTTAGGTTGCCAAATATTCAGAAAAAGAATTCGCAGATGCCCTTTTCAACTAATGATCCAAAGACCTCTGTGTCTCTGACTTTGTCTTGGATCCTTAGAGCTTGAAGCATCTTGACATGAGAAACAACAGGGACACAGGCAATTCTGCTAAGAAAACGTTGTTCCTGAGATTGCCATGCTACATTGGCTGGCGGCATGTTTTCTGTAATGACCAGGGCTTCTGAGATGAATACTTGTAAAGTTGTTCTGGAAGTATAACAGTCTTGGCACTAAATTTTCAACCATCATTATTTTGTTAATCTACCTGGGGCATGTGAATAAGAATAAGCTGTGGCAGGCTGAATTGGCTGCAATTTTCAGCTTCGCCTAAAGAGCAGGTTATCAGACATTGATTCAGAGCCAATTCTGCAGATAGTTGCCTCTCTTCTCCCCTTCAACTACTGATAGGCTATTCAAATCTTCTGCTTTGTTGCTGGTTGTTGTGTATCATTAAAATCTTCATCAATTTGAGCTAATGCAAGGATCCTCATGCGAGGTTCGGACAAGAAATATTTCAAGCCATACAAATTTCAATTTGAGGAAATATCACTATCAATTGCCTCAAAAATTGCAACCAATGATAGCTTTTGAGAATTGCAGAGAATCCTCTCGTCGAGTCAGCAATGACACCAGCTGTTTTGCAACTTAAATAAAATAGGAACGTTTCATACGACAACTTAGCTACAAGTTATGGACACTTTCCAGTTCTTCCATATATTCTATTTTCTAAGACAAATCCTCTCATGTGTCAAAAGAGGATTTTTCGGACTGCCAAGTGGTACTGAAAAGCCAAGGAATTTCCAAAAAGTGCAAAATAGTAGTGTGAGTGGCTCATGTGCAACCTGTTTATGGATTTTGGTGTTGCCAAATTCAACAGAACTCCTAATTCCAATAATGTATTGTGTCTAATTTTCAATAAATTACTCTGGATTCGTTTGATAAAACTCAAGTCTCACAACTGTAGTCTGAATCCATTAAATTATTGAATTGTTAAATATTAAATCTAATACATTTAAGTGCATGTCACATTTAGCAATAAGTGAATAGGTTATCATTTTATTTTTTGAGTAAGTTTTGCCTAAAAAATTCAGTGCTTAAAAATTTTTTTTATTATCAAACAATTTTAATATGTTAAGATCCGAATCTATTAAATTTGAATGTTGAATTGGGCTATCAAACAGGGGCTTAATTAAACTAACACTCTGTTTGTAACCTTATCCCTAACGCTAAGGATATGTGCCGCTACTATAACTGAAACTTATAAATGCTGCAAAATATGGTTATGTATCTCTACATTATGATTTTCATGTACATTTTTGAAATGCATTGTTGGAGTTGTACTTCAAATGTTGAATTTGCATTTTGCTCTAAAAGTATGGGTAAACTTGGCAAAAGCCTTTTTAATCTTGGAGTTGGTATTTCCTCAACACTGAAGACACCTATTTAACCACTTAAAACTCACTAGGTGATGGTGGATTGATCTAAGCTATATTGATCAAATGCGCAGAAATGTGAGCAACTGGTACGTAGAGAAATAAAAAGGTGTAACTTTTTCTTAAACCTTGTGTGCATCCAAATGAATTTTTGTAGACACCTACATGTTGGTGTACACTTATATATTTACATGTATATGTTTTTTTTTTTACTAACCTCATAAGCGGGAGAGGGACGTCACCCCCTTCTATTATTAAAAACCACAAAACAAAGTTACAAAGACGTTTATACATGTTTACATGTATATGTACACATATCAATTTGACAAATTGGCTTAAATAATTGTTGAAATCCAATCTCAAACTCAGAATTATCTCTCCAATTGATAAGCAATGTAGCACAATTTAGCAATCTAAAACGGTAGTTATTAAATCCGAACCAACTTACTGGTTAATTAGTTAATTTGGTGAATTGACCATATAATTAAGCTGGTTAATGATTTCACTAGACAAAAATACTAGGTTGGCTTTTAATGGACTGACTGTTCAGCTAGGATCCCAACCTAGTTATTAAATCCGAACCAACTTACTGGTTGATTAGTTAATTTGGTGAACTTCTTAGTAGCAGGGTGGTTGTGTGAGTTCTAGTCCCACATCGGGGAAGGGGTTGGGGATTGCTGGGTAGATAAGTCTCCTGGGGTTGCTCCAAGAGTTGCCGGCTTTTGGAGTATATTCTGGGGTTTAGGTTTGTTGAGTCAGTAAGAGTCAATGACTTCTTGACAGAAAAAAAAGTTAATTTGGTGAACTGACCATTCAATTAGGCTGGTTGATGATTTGACTTGACAAAATACTAGGTGGCTTTTAATGGGTTGACTAGTTCAGCCAGGATCCCAATCGGTTTCAGTAATTCGCTAGACCAGTGTATTAAAAACTGGATCGCTCCAATCGGTTCAACCAATTAAATTACGAACCGGTCATGGTTCTAATTCAATTCTGCATTTAGTCCAAAAAGTCAAAGAAACTAATCAAACTCGGTTAAGATTCGGTCGAACTAATAAAAACCCAACCTTTTGAACTTGCCTCTAGGGGTACAGGCAATCCAAGTATCTCGCAAGCTATTCAATCAAACGCTCGACCCAAGTTCGGCTTCAGGTTGAAGCCACTCGAATAGACAGTCAATTCGAGTTTAAACTTGATTTTTTGGGTAATTAGATATTTAGTTCAAACTCGAATAGGCATTCAAAGGCTCAACGAGCCAATTTGAGTAATTAGATATTTATTATATATATATATATTAATGAATTTACTATTTTAGGTTTATAAGTTCGATCATTTACAACATTTCATCCGTTTCTTATAATATTAATCAAGGCTAACATACATTTCATAAATGAAATTTATAACTCAAAAATCGCAATAAGGGGAAAATTGTACACTTCAGTCTTATTCAGATTTCTGTATCTCACATAGAGTCTTAGATCCTTCTCTTCAACAATTACGGGCTTGTTTGGAAGTGAAGTTTTTGACCAAGTTTTTTAGCTACTAATTTTTTAACAACTTTTGCTACAGGAACCCCAAAAAACTTATCAAAGTTTTTTACTTACACACTTCAAAATAATATACAAAAAACTTTCCCTTCAACTTTTCTTCTTTTTCCTCCTCCACCCAACCGGCCACCACTTCCACCACCGCTTCCGACGCTGGTAACTATTCTGGCCAACTTTTGCCGACCTTTTTTTTTCTCTCTCTCCCTCCCCTCTCCCTTTGATCGATATGTTGGTTTTCAAAATCTCTTTTTTCTTTTTTTTTCTTTCTCCCTCCCCTCTTTCCCTCTGCATTTCCCCGCCACCTTCCCCCTCTCGTAGCTTGGGGAGCAGGAAATTTGCAAAAAAAAATAAATAAATAAAATTTACACTCGACTGTTACTGCTTATTCTGTCGGCAAGATAAGGAGAGGAGAAGGAGATAGAACATTGGAAAAAAATCATTTATGTTGTGCAAAACTTATGTGCAAAACTCAGGTGGCGGCAAAGGGAGAGGGAGAGGGAGGGGTGGCGGGGAAGCTTTTGCAGGGGTGGGAGAGGGGGGTTGCAGGCAGAGGGGTGGCGGGGGAGCTTTTGCAGGGGTGGGGGAAGAGGTGGCGGGGCAGAGGGGAGGAGAAGGGGAAAGGGAGGAGAGGGGTGGCGGGAGGCGGCATTGGTGGAGTTGTTGCTGGGGGTGGCGGAGGCAACGGGGAAGGGGGAGGGGGAAGGAAGAAGAAGAAGAAGAGAGGAAAGAAAAGAAAAAGGAAAGAAAGAAAAAGAAAAAGAAAGAGAGAGAAAAAAAGAAAGAAAAAAAAAAGAAAAGGAAAAAAAAAGTTTTTCATCCTACAAAAGTTTCTACAAAATTTTTCGCCTTACAAAAATTTCTACAAAATTTTTTCAAAAACTTCTACAGTGCACTACAGTAAAGTTTTAAACAAACTCCCAAAAAACTCAGGTTCCAAACAGGCCTCCATCTTCTTCTCTTCATTTTGCAAATCACAGCTCCGTCTTCTTCTCTTCAAGACTTAACTAGTAACACGCAACTCTTCTTCTTCTTCAGCTGCTCGAATTTGCAGTCGGTACTGGGTAACTTGCGACTAGTGACTTCAGCTTCAGTCGAAGGTAGAGCAGCAGAATCTTCCACCCTAAATGAGACTGAGCCACTTTCACCACCTGAGCTCTTAAGTCTAGAAACCCTAAACTAAAATGGATGAAATTGGAGAAATTTTTGGTACCGTAAACCATAAATGCAAATTGGGGGTTTTCAATGTAGAGAGTATTGCACTTCTGGGAATTGAGAGGAGTTAGGAGTGCTAAGATAAACTGAATTTTCTAGTGCATGTTTGTATTTTTGGAAGTTTGTTTCCTTTGTTGAAGGGAATGAATTTTTGCTGTTTCTGCTATTTACTTTGTTGGTGTGAATTTTCTAGTACTACATTGGATTGGAAGTTTATTTATAAATGGATGAAAGGCTTGAAACAGATTGATTTTGGAGCTTACAAAACTGTGCAATAGCAATTGCAGAATGCAGACTGCTTCCGGAAAAATTTTATCGAGTTTGAGTATCTTCAAGTCCTCGAGCTTGATTATCTGGGGCTTGAGCACAATTGAGTCGAGTTTCGAGCTCTGCAAATATTTTGTCAAGTCAAGTTCGAGTTTGCAAATTATTACTCATTTGAGCTCGAACTCGAATATAGTGTTACTTGAGTTTGACTCGGTTCGAATTCACCTTACCTGCTCCCACTAGATTTTTTTTTTGTTTCAATGTTATTCAAAATCATTATACTAGGGTCAAGTTGATCAAACCATCAGTTGAAAAGCTCGATTGGTTTACTTGCCGATCCGAGTTTCAGAACATTGAGTTAGACTTAAACACCCCAATTTACTTTTTTTATTTTTGGTAAATAGAAGATTTTGAATACAGAATCTCTACTTAGAATCACTTCTCCCTTAACACCTAACCTACCCTCCCCCAATACCCCAATTCGCATAGTAGTAAACCAAAATAATATATTGCTAGAATTTATTATCAAGACACCCATTAGAATTTCACACTTTGAAATTTGTAAAGAAGATTAAAAAAGATGTCATAAAAACTAAACAAAAATTAAATTCTACATTTGGAAGTTGGGTGAATTATTATTTAAACTATTTTTTGTTTCAAGTCTCACAATAATAATATGCTATAACTTCTTTAAAAAATAGTTAAAATTTATTAGAACATATTCTATTATTGTCTTTTCCACATATCTCGTATCAAAAATTACTAAATTTTAAATTTAAAAAATATTATACTGACCCGTACATTCAAGCACCCAACCATAATAATTACGCCAGTAGCCCATTGGTCTGCCCTTCACTTGTCAGGTCTAGGCCCTCAATCCTACCACTTTTAGCATTCAATAGTATTGAAGTTACAGAGGTTCGTGCGGACGAACGTTTCTTGAACCTTTAAACACCCTTTTGTCTTCCTTCCCACCTCATTAGCTTATTCTCCGAGTCCAACCAAAGAGAAAATACACACAAAACACACTCTTAGCCGAAGAGCTCTCTCACCTTTGCACATCTGTAAGGCACAAAGTTGTTGCGGTTCCTTTATTTTCAGTTTATTAAAGTAATCAAATGCGGCTATGGATATTAAGAAATACTCCATCAGTGATGTTGCATGCTTTTATTTAGAAGTTGTAAAACAATGTTTGATCTTTTTTTCCCCTTCTAATAGGGATATCATTGATGAATGTGATGTGATGTTTTGCCCATTACTCTGATAATGCTCTGTTTTCTGGTAGTAAGAAATTTAATCTCTGCATGTGTCCGTTGTTGCTCTCTTCATTTTGCTTGTTCTTAGTTACTTCTGTTGTTAGTCAAGTCAGTTTCATAATTGAAGACACTCTTTTTCTTATTTTTTCAGTTTCATATTTTGAATCTCATAAAAGGGTAAAAAGGCCGTATCTTTTTTTTTTTTTTTTTTTCTATTGTCCGATATAAAATGTAATGTATGTATAAGATTAAAACATGTAAAAGGCCATGAAACAGAAAAGGCAATTAAAGAAGTGAAGGGTAATGCCATTAACAAAAAGAAATTTTATTGTTCAAGGATCAAAAGCCCAACTCCTCCGGTTGGGATATTATCCAAAATAAGGCCAGAGGATAAATCTGTGTAACTTGGTTGTAAAATTTAAATTTTGTACCAACATAAATACGCAATTTAGGGGTTAGTAATAATGTCAGAGTTGTATAGTACAAATGCTTCTTGGTTTTGAATTTCGATAGGTGCTTCAAAATGTCTTGTTAGTATTAATGCTCTCTATGTTACTGCAGGCGGTTCAAATTAATCTGCAATGCTATTGTGTTTTTCACTCTAGTTTATTTTTTTAATTCTACTATGAATCAGGAACATAAAATAAACAAGATTGTAGTGGTTTTCCTGATCTTGTCTTAGTGGATCCCTGAGAAATCAATGAAAAGAGAATACTGAACTGTGTTGAAGTAGAGATGTCTAATCAGCTGGTACAGCCGTTTCTTTGCGCTGTCAAGGAGGAGGTATGCACCCTTGGTTTCTAGCATTTCGAATTGATGAACGAAAATTTTGTTTTGAATAATTACCACTTTATATTAGGCATGATTGTACTGTTTGGCGTGCTATGAAGCCTATGATTACCAAAACAAAGAAACATGCCAAAGAAGTTGGTCTTTATTGGGCTAGAAATTTATCAAGTCAAAGAATTTCTTGATCTCTTTGATGCATTCTTGTAGCTCAGTTTCTTTACCAGTTACAGATCATGGTATACATCTAAGAAATTTTTGGTCTTTTATTTATGTCAGTTTAATTTTGTGAGTCCACGGTATCCCTGTAACTTGATGTAGAGCTCAGTATTGCCTCTAATGATGATTGCAGAAGTGGTATAATTCAATTAGAAAAAATTTGAATTCAGGATTTGTCATAATTAACTTAATTGATGGTAAGTTGGCAGAAAGTGAATGTCCTGTGTACAAGGACCAGGTAGTGGAATAGGATTGTTTTTTACTTGCAAAAAGTTGAAGAATGATACACATTTTATTAATGTTTAATTCATGTGGAATTCTTAGAGGTCAATGTAGTGAAGAAAGTAGCATTTCTTTTCCCTGGAAAAATAGGTATTGTAAAGTTGATATTTGGATAAAATGCATTGTTATGATGCACTTATTGCATTCAACATATCTCTGTTTTGTCCTGTGGAATGCCTTTAACTTTGATGTTTATTATTCCTCGCAGCCCTTTATGACAGACTCAGACACTGATGAGAAGCCATATGTAGACCTTATTAACTCAAAATCTGTGCCCAGTGGAGAGAACTCACAGCTTCTGTCTGGATCAAGTTCTGGAATGGCTGAAATGGATGATATTGAATATTGGACAATCTCTGGGAAGAAGCCGTATTTTGATATAATTCTAACAAAATCACATGTTGGTCCCAGATTTCAACTGGTAATTTCTTTGTTAGCTAAAATTAGTTTCCATTAGATACTAGTAAAAGATTTTGTCCCGCATTGATTTTTTCGTTTCAAGTTAGATTATGTTGAAATCTACGACTTATCTCAAGAAATTCTAATTTGTCACTCTCAGTTCCTTCCAACCACAATTGTCCCAGCGCTTCCTTCTGCTATGGTCCCTGTGGTTCTGACTTGTTGTGGCAAGAATTGGAATACAGTCTATTATGGAGACAGGACAGGCAAAAGGTTTGGCCCCAGCTGGAAAGAATTTGCATCAGATAATGAGCTAAAGACTGGAGATTGTTGTTTCTTTGAGCTCATGGAGTCTACAATGGCACAAATCAAGTTTAAAGTTATTATTCTGAGAGGTGACCTGCCAGTCCTTCGTTTTGCTGAAGGAGATGGTGAGACCCCAGAGAAAGCGATCATCATTGAATAGAACCATCCGTTAGATCTACAGATTTTGTGTTTTGTCATGATGTATCTCAAGCTTTTGGGACCTCAACTTATGTGCACCAATATGCACAATTTCTATAAAGCTCACTCTATATCATGCACTGCTTAGCAGCTTTGAATATATAAACGTTTTTGGTGTAGGATATCAATGCCATGGCTTGAGTAATGTATAGTTTGTTGATGAGGAGGATCTGGCCTGGGGTTTATGTTGCATTGGCCTGATTCTGCTCTTGTTGCAATCTAACTTATGTCATCTTGTTACTGAGTTCTGCAAATTTTGGATTCCTTTGCCTCCTGATATCAACATCTATGACTCGACAAAGGTTTCTGTAACATGATATGTAAGGTTGATGCTATAATTTGACAAAGTACAACTGCAGGTTTCGACAATTATGAAAGCCTCGAGGGATCATCAGTAATAATCTACCCTAAAGTTTTGTAGAGGTTCCATTACTATGTTCAGGTGACTTAGCTAGTGGCTTGATCTGTAGGAACGGTCTTCTGAGCTCATGATATTTGAGTTTGCATTTGCGGGGAAAATAATTATACGGCCTTCCAACTATGTGAGGAAGGGGAAATTTTCAGCTTAACTGAAGAGGATTTTAATCAGGTATGGATCATATAAAAGTCGAAAATGAATCAAGATTGCAGGCAGTTCTTTCTTCTTCATTTGAAATATTAGAATTGATGTCATATACTTGATAGGTTTTGCAAACTGCCAAAGAAGTTAAAAATTAGATCCATGGTATTGCTACAACAATTTATCCTTGTCTGTGGGATCTGCATGGTAGGGCGGAAGGTATTGCCTTGCAGATCACCACATTAACAATGTGCATGCATTCTTTTCCTGAACTCTTCACCTTGGCTTCACCTTCATACTTTTTCATAATTTTATTATGTTTCTTTTTTCTCCATCCTGCCTTCAGTGGGGGAAACGACTACATGCTTGGGAGACTTACAGCTTCTGATTTTCTCTTATTGGCCGTGCATAGGCATCTTTGTCGTGTTCAATTGACACTATCTCCCTTGAAAACTGTCAAGCATGTGGCTGTTTCTCTTTTGCTATTGTATGCATGATCTCGGAATCCCCTGGTGATCTTCTAATTTCAATACATATACGATTGTGGGCGTCAAGGTTGTGAATTAAGGGTACTGCATCCAATTTCTGTTCCTCTCAAGACTATAAACAGCTCTAGTTCTAAGGAAAAGCAAATAACCCGAAGCAACACCAAACATAGAAATAAAGCTCCACCAGGCAAAAGTCTCACTGTAACATTGCCTACCGATGCATACCGCTGATCCATCCATTAAAACCAGCAAATTTGAGCTCCTTATGTTTCTTTGGTATAGCAAGGCAGCAAGAAGACCATAAAGAAGTGATCCCAGAGGGATATTGGTTATAAGAATGTTATGATTGACTCCAGTACTGACAGGTCCAAACAATTCTGCTGTCATTGAAACTGCTGCTGTAACAATAAAACCAGAACTTAATCCAATGAAGGCTGTGGCAGTTCTCAGTGCTGCCTGGCTGCCTGATGAAACAAGCAAAAGAAATGCAATTGGTGTTGGAACCAGTCCTAGCACAAGCCATCCAGTTCTTGGGTAATACATGTTGCTGCATTAGTAAAAAAGAAGACATCATGTGATTGCTACTATAAAGTAAAAATGCATTTTCTGTCAGGCAGCAGAAAAAGGTGCTGCTGCTTGTGCAGGAATTTCACCTCCTATTGGTTAGCTGTTCGGCAACTCTTAACATTCCTTTTTAGTTTCTTTGTCCCCAATATCATGAAAAACCAAAATCAATTATAGAAAAAACTTACTCTCCCAGCAAGTCTGGAATGGCAGAAAGCAGACGTCCAAAGAATGAGCAAGCAGAGTACAGATATACAAATGAACTTATCCCTGAGCCATATCCAAGTGATTGTGCAATTTGGCCAAGATTGTTACCATAAACAATTCCTATTGTTCCACCACAGAAGTATGCCAAGTAGTATAACCAAAAGTCCAATCGATGGATGAGCAACCTTACTGAGTGCTCTTCTCCTAGCACTGACAAACGGTCTTTGAAGAACTTTTGATCACAGCAGGATCTATTCTCTTCTGGATCATACGCATTTCCACTGCTGCGTATCAAGGGACTGCTTGAGGCCTCAATTTCCACAAGTTTTTGTCTAATATCAAGATCTCCTAAGTCAACTGAATTGAAACTTGTGCCCTGTAATTCGATGCTTGAATTCTCTGTTCTTTGAGCCCATTCCTGAGTGCAGAAAATTCTGGTGGTAATTAGTAGCAGGATTAGGAATAATATTGCACCAAGCGTGGAAGCACTACTGGTTACTGATTCTATCTCAAGGACTAGAAGATATACACCGGTACAAGCTGCTAGGATAACTAGATGGAGAAAAACACTGGACTCGCGATGAATAGCATCACCAGAAAGGGCTTGAGGAGGGGGTTGCTGAAGGACCAAAGCAAGGATGCCTATTGAGGCAATAAGTGGCATGATAGCATTAAGGAGGAGATATAATGTGCTATCAGTGGAGTTGATGGCATTGACAATGAGCTTATATAAAGCTGCAGTTACACCATTAAAACTGATGCTGAGGGACAATGCCAGTGGCCTGTTTGCAGGAAAGTTGTTTATGCACAAGACATAACAGACTGTGTTGAACCAGGAGATGCTACAACCCGCAAGCAAACTCAAGAGAATTACCTGAACGGTATCAGATTGTAGCAACTTTTAGCGTGCTCAATATTGCAATGGATTAAGTAATCTGAGGGGAAAAGAGTAAGCATGATGCACAAAGTTTTAAGGGCACCTGAAAGAGTTAAAATAAAGCCGCAACAAACAGCAACAAACAATATTTCATGGACATGTTTGTTATCACCTATATGATACATGGCCACATTCTGATCTAAAATATATAATTTTGGGTTTAAGGATGCTGCATTGTCATCGTGATGGCTATCTTTTGGAATGATGATGTTCAATATGACACTGATGATGACATATTTGATTGACCCCTAATAACTAACAAGTTAATTATCAACATCTTTGTAGTTTCAGTAAATATTAGCAGCACACAGGAGTCAATCACAGGACCTGCTGGTAACTCCCAGATTACGGAACCAGTCGGATTGCCCTAAGAAGAGGGGCATGGATTAGGGCAATCCGACTGGTTCCGTAATCTGGGAGTTACCAGCAGGTCCTGTGATTGACTCCTGTGTGCTGCTTAGCTGTGTATCCTTGAGGCAAGACTCTACACAGCCTTAGGGGATTAATCTGGGCGAAAGACTGGGATACCCCTAAGTGAAAAAAGAGCAAATATTAATCTATCTGCGCTCGCTCTCCACCCCCTTCAACCCCCCAAAAACTAATCCCTGATAAGCTTAAAAGGTGTGCTGGAACAACAAAAATATTAGCTTCTGTCTAGTGCAAAATGCATTTTCAGGATTTATCAATTCAATAAAAATCCATAAATTACAAAATGCCACTACATTTTTGCTGCTTGATGGACAACTGTTATATCCTGATATGAGACTTAAGTATCTTTGAACATATAAATTGGATGATCTAGCACTAAATGAACTCAAAAAGAAAGTGTAGGAGAGAAAAATTCCAATGTCTTCTTCAATCTATTGTTTTCAATCCAAGTCCAGCTGCTGCTTGATAAGAAGTGCTTATTATACCAATATCAGTTTTTGGAAAAATCATGTAGTCCTTGTAAAGTTTGCTTCAAATTGAAAAAAAAAAAAATGAAAATTCAGCTTCCTATTTACGTGCTGTCATGCTGCAATTATTCTATACCAACTGCCTAGCTTAACTTAATGGGCACTTTCCAAGATTGTTTTATACAAGAATTCCTTGTTTGGATTGTCATTTTTTCTCAAAAAATTCTTACTTTTCGTGAACTTATTTTTCAATCACCTTTTTATCTTATATACGTCAAATCGAGTATCTACATTTTTTTAATAAAAATTTTAGAAAATAACAATCTAAATGAGTATTTAGTTGGTGGTTGACTGGGTTTGACTTCTCTAAAATGTGATATCTAATATTTTTCCACAGGCTTTCGTGAGGGAGTCTGCATCAAAGGTCAGAGTGTTAGATCAACTGCCATTTTTTTGTCCTCTTGATAACAAAAATATATCAATTTGTTATTATTCACATAAAGTGCCCTTAAGGACAACTGCTTGTAATATAATATGGTAAAGAGATTGAAAAGTGTGAATTGCGTTTTCAAGAAAATTTTTTTACTATGACAATTTTTCATAATGTGATTTATGTGAAATAAAAATGTGACTTTGAAAAATATTAAAAATAAATAATACCCGAGTAATGTTTATTCAAATAGAGTATAATGAAGGGTATATAACATAATAATAAAAAAAAATGTACGATTATGATGCAAAAAGATGTTTAAGAAAGATTCCTTTTTTTTTTTTTTATCAAAATAATGCCAAAATTATGTTTATCCAAAGGGAGTTATCAGTCATACTTAGTAGAGGGTATATAACTCTCTAGTGTTTTGGCACACAAAAAAATAAAAATCAGTTACTTTTTATCTGTAAAAAAAATTCAACATTCCTACATAAAAATGCAGGCAAATTTTGGGTATGGCAAGGCATAAAAGGTGAAGTCAAGTGCATTAGGAGATATAAAGTTTAAAATTCTTATGTAAAAGTATACTAAAAAATGAGTGGAGATAATACTTGAATTATGAGGTGGACTCACATTTTTCAGTGTGACTATCCTATGCCTATATGATGAAGAATACAAAAAGCCAACTACCTAACAAAATAAATGGCAATGGATTCATGCATTAGAATATTGGTACTGATGGTTATGTTATACCTATCACCTGCCTCAAGCAACAACTTTTTTTTTTCTTTTTCTTCTCTATGTTGGTTATGGTAGTTGAAACAAGTTAGTGGAGTTGGCTATGTACAATCCCAACAAATTAGGAACTCACATCAATGAAATGACAATAACAAACTCTGTCCAACCTTAACTTTTAAGCTACATAAAAAGTGAGAGGAATATCTTTTTTTTTTCTTTTTTTGTTTGATTGGAAATGTTGTGCAAAATCAAATCTTTGATTGATCCAAGTAGTATATGAGTAGAAAGAAGAAGAAAAACTAGTAAGAAGTGATGAAATCTGCCAATTTTAAGCATTCAAGAAGAGATGAATTTCTAAAAGAGGTTAAGAAATTAAGGGAAAAGGAAACTCACTAGGGAATAAGGCAAGGAGATGTGTCCTTGAATGACAAGCCATTGGAGGCCAAAACCAAGAAATCCCATGAAAGCTGCAAGAAAGATGACAACCCATAATGGCAAATACTTGAGACAAACTCCAGAACACCATCCAAAGGCTTTGCCCATGTCTGATGCCATGGACAGATTGTTCAACTGAACCTGTGAAATGCCTAGAACAGATTTTAAATCTGAAGAGTAGGACGAAAAGTCCAAATTTGTTCCTGTAAATGCCTGTATCCACACACTTGCTGCCAAAATCATCCATTTTCTTGATTGTCCTACCATTTCTTGAGTGGCTAGAATGAGAAGGCAATCATATGTAAGAAGGGATTCTTCTACGACTCAATCTCGAAGCAATGGCATGAGGGAAGGTAGGTTATATGTTAATGTTCAGGAGGATGAGTTTTATGCTTTATAGGCAGCCTCTATCGCATGATGACTATTGAGTAGGCAAGCTAATTAATGGAGGTTCTTTTGGAGGCTTAGTTGTATTGGGTGGAAACTTGGGTAGATACTCGAGAGAATTGACAGAACATTTGCAAAAGTTGCTATTGATGGTCCATCATCATACAACGCCTTATGCAAGGATTTCCACAGAATATACATCTTCATGCGTGTATATACCCTAAGGCCTTCAAGAAAAGTTTTTTTTTTTTTTTTAATCTTTTCATGAAAAGCCTTTGACTTGGAGGATTTTTTCAATGCAAATGATGATGATGGTGAAATCCCTTTATTGTTATAGAGGTCAAAATTTTGAAAATTCTACCGTTCCTTTTGAATACCATACCTATAATTGTAATTCAATAAGTTTTTATCACATCGTTTAATAATTAAAACTCCTAAATAATTTGAGGATTGATAATTTTTTTACATATCCAACAGTTAATTTATACTTGCTAGTATATGATATTCAAAAGGTACCATAGAGTTTTCAAATTAGGGGATGGTATTGGCACTACATGTTTGTTAATTGCATCCGATTCATTTTTTCTCTTGCCATTTGCTCAAAGACAAAGCTCTAGCTTTCGTTCTAATTCCAACATGGAAAAACATGGTATGATTATCAATGCAACAAAAAACAGCTAATTCAAACGGAGCTGTATCTTGTCTTTTCTCATTGTCTTTATGTGATATTTATTCCATAGAATATAATTGCTAGATCACCACCCATTTTTCTTTGTTAGAAAGGAAAAGTCTCTGCATAATATCAGCTAAATCAATTAACATGTTAGAAAATGACAATTATCTAATGAGTTACTTTGGGGCTTCATAATTTATTGACATTAAATGACAATAATCTAATGAGATTTGCAAGGAAAAACTATAAATGCAACATTTTTGTCAGCGTAAATGCAATCGGCGGCAGGCAATTGCACAAAATGAAAATGTAACGGCACCAAAAAAAAGGCAAACAAAATAAAAATCCAACACTTGTAAAAAAAAAAAGCAAAGGAAACTTGGCTAGTCAGAGATCATGACATATGTTGTGAAATTAGCTTCCCCCAGTCCGATATGAAGCCACAGTTTTGCGGTCAACATAAATTAACTCAGTTAACGAACACGGGCTATTTCTTCATAAAAGGTAATATATTCAAATCTCGTTACAGATATGAGAATTGTATTACTCGGAAATTTGAGAGAACCTTGTATGTTACTAGAGACATGCTCTGACACATGATGGTGATCAAAGTTGAATCCGCTCAAACTTTTTTGTACAAAAAAAAAGAGTAAATCTTTTATGTATTGACAATACATATAATAGCAGGTCTAGATACATGTTATATATACAAACTCTAATGTTGAAATTCAAATTCTATGACATATATTCAGATCCGTCAGTATATATATATATATGTATACACTGACAATATAGCAAAAATTAATTTAAAAGATAAACAAAACATAAAAAAAAACACTTTCGCCAGATGGAGATTGTAACGTGTAGTTGTAAAATTAGCTTCCTTTAGTCCTATAGGAAGTAAATTTGTTCTGCATTAGCAACAGTACATTCCATTCCACTCAGCTGGGTTCTCTGGATTGACCAAAGGGAGTAGTTGACCAGATTTATTACATAGGGTCGAAAGCAAGGGTGAGACTGCTCCGTTTGGTAAGTGAGTTTTTTAAATGCTTATTTAAAATTTTATTATAATTTATTGTAAAAGTTATAAATTTTTTTTAAAGTATGTAAATTTTGAAATATTTTAAAGTGTATAGTTTAAAAATTTTAAGAAATTTTGTGAGGTTGCTATAGTTAAAGTTGTTAAAAAATTTGTAACAGATAAACTTAGGAAAAAACTTATTTGCCAAACAAGGGCATAGTAAGATGAAATAAGGATTAAAAGTGTAAAGGTTTTAAATGTGTAGTATTTAATAGCTTTGATATAATGGAATTTCTACAAGATCTAAGTTTTGGTTCTAGAATTAAAAAAAAAGTTTGAAAAATATTAAATCCCTCCGTCCCGAAAAATTTGACGCTTTTCAAAACTCCAACTCTTTTTTTTTTTTTTTTGGGCACAGTGATTTAATTCCCCATGGATAAGGATAAGCTTTTGTTTCAGATTTACCCTTTATTTCAACAATACTAATGCAGTAGTGGTAACTACTGGAACCCACATGAATATGCCAGCAAACAGCAGTTCACATCCTCCAGTGAGAGTGAGAAATACCGGCAAAGCTAGGCCACATGTTAACTTGTTAACTTTATTTTTATTTTATTTTTTAAGTAGAAACCCCCGAATTTGAGAAGTTTCACTTACATTCGTTCTCTTTCGTATTACTCAACATATCCCTTCCCCGACTTGTCAATCTTTTCACTCTCCATTTGCATTTATCAAATTCAAATTGCTTTAGTTGGACCATTCATTATTTCCTCAAGTAGGGGTAAACTGCAAACTTGCCAAATGGGGAAGGAAATGTAACAAATATTTTGGAATGGATCATAAAGAAAAGCACGACATTATTAATGAGATAGAGGGAACAGTTAAAAAAACATAGCTAAAGGGAAAAAAAGCACTCTTTCCAAGAGAGAGAAAGCTCATACAAAGAGGAGTGCACCTTCATAATCGTTTTTATCAAACCTATGATTGTACTGTACACAAATTTTCTAACGTGAATCAAACTAAGTGTCTGTTTGATAACATAAAAAAGTGCTGAAACTGAATTCATTCAGGCATTCAGATGTTGTGGGTGTTTGATAAATAAAAATTCATCTGCTGAACTTATTAAGTGGTACTGAATTTGTATGTATTTTTTTCAGCACAAGAATCGTAGCTGAATGCTTAATTTGATAAGAATCAAAAGATTTACTTCAACTACTTTATCTTATCTACCAAATATATCCCTGTTTGTTAATTACATTCAAAATCCTTATCTAATTAAACAACCTAATATTTCCTATTTAAAATCCTTATCTAATTAAACAAAACAACCTGATATTCTCTATTCAAAATTTTTTTTTAACAATAGTATTTTTTTGTAATAATTTTCATCCACAAACATTTATATTTTGATATATATATTTTTTTGTGCAGATAAATATTATTTATGTGATGCAACTTATCCACACACACGTGGCTTTATGACACCATATCGAAATATTAGATATTGGTTGTCTGATTTTCGAAATGCTTCTCGTCCAAGATCAAAAGAATAACGCTTTAACCAAGCACATGCAAGATTGAGAAATGTAATTGAACATGCTTTTGGAGTATTAAAAACTCGTTTTCCTATTTTCAAAACGATGAAACCATACCCTTTTCCCACACAAAGAAATATTGTCATTGTATGCATTGCTCTTCACAATCATTGTCATTTTCATACCTAACAATTTTAAATTAATTAAATCATAGGTTCTATTTCCTTTTTGGATTAAAAGATAGAAGGGCAAAATTGTATAATTTAGCTTCTTAGGCATTAAGTTATGAATATTTATCAAACAGTATAAATAGATTCAACATTAAGATTCAGACATTCATATATCTCTTTTCAGTGCTTAAAATTCAGCAAATTAATTATTTCAGTATTCAGAATTCAGAGTTCAGAATTCAGAATTCAGATTCAGTGTTATCAAACGGAGCCTAAGTTACTAGTAATTTTAACCAAGTTAGGTACAATAATCCATTCACTAGATCGGGTTATAGAAATTCTGATCTTGATTCAGCCTCAAGAATCAGAGATTCTTAGTTCAAATCCCTTTATTTCTTTCTTCGCTTCTTAAGTCCCACATCTCCCCTAGTAGAAAAGAAAAAAAAATATCTTGATTCTTGCACATGGAAATAGTGACAAGAACCCAAGGGCCTTATGTGCAATAAAGTGAAACTGAGAGGCATCAAGGTAAATCACTCGCACTAAAAAATTTCTACTCTACAGTTTTGTCCTTACTTCTTACAGCCCAAATTCAAGTCCAATATCAATCCGGGTTTTTTAGATCATCTTCAGACCAAACTCGACCCGTTTCCCCCAAATTCTCCTCATGCATAACCCTTTGCCATAAAATACACAGTGACACACACTAAGCTCACCAATGGAGGTGGAATTGGAGCCAAGAGTGAAGCCTTTACCATTCAAAGTAAAGGCTATTTCGCGAGAATCACCCTCCCAGAAGGCCAGCCATGTCTTGGATACCGACCTCCGGAACCACTGGTCCACGGGGACCAACACCAAGGAATGGATCCTTCTTGAACTTGATGTAAGGATACACTTATTTAATCTGATTTTTCGGTTGAATTTTTTGGTTTGAGTTTGTTGTCTTGCTTTGAGATAGTTAATTTGAACTGGGTTTTTGCTAGTTTTGTTTCTTGTTTGATGGATCGTAAAGGGTAGAGTTGATTGAAATTTAGTTAATGTTGGTGAAAGTTTAGGGTTTTTGGGTTAGAAAGCGGTTATCTCTTTTTTGATTGAGTTGAATTGTGACGGGCGTGTTTTGGAGTTTAAGTAGAAGTGGATTGAGTGCGGGTGGTTGATGGAGGCTGTGAAAACTAGTAGTGAATAGGATAAGATGGCGAATTAAGTTCCCTGAAGCTTTGAGAAGGCTCCCAGAATTTGAAAAGATAAATGTTGTATCAAAGTTGTGGTGGCACTGAATTTAGAGGTATTTATTTTGGACAATGACCACATGCTCACCAACGTTTATTGGTAACCCATCAGCATTTCCAGTATCATCTTACATTGCCATATTTGTTGGTGTCGATTGCTTGACCAAAGGAAGTCTAATTCTGGAGTTGTAGGGTTTATGGATTCAAACTTGAAGAACTGATTTGCTACCCATGGAACTTCTGAGTGTTATGCTGATATTTGTTAAATATCATCAATTATCGTTAGAAAATTTTTAAAGGTGTTTTTCATGTTGCAGGTGTTATTGGTCTTTTTACATTGAATCATGCCGATTGTGTATGATTGTCTTTTTTTTTTTTTTGATGCAAATGGTGTACGGTTGTCAACTTAAGAGTATGTCTGCTAATATGGTAGTATCAGGTGAAAATCTTGCTTCTGGTTTTGTATTTACTGAATATTCTTTTTGCCTTGGATTTGTCTCTAAGAGATTTGAATAATTAAGTAATAGATGTACTCGTCTTTGCTCCTTTTTATTTACGTATGCATTGTTTAGTATCTTGAGAGAAGTTGAACAAGCAGTGACAATGGTGATACTGAATCATTGCATGATGTAAGCTTATGTACTAGAGATGACATGCTTTCCTTGAAATATTGCAAAGTAGAACAATGAAAGTTAATAAATGCCAGAATTTTTGTGAGTACGCTTGTCTGTTATTTAGCTTGAAGTCTCACTGCTTGTCTATTTTGGAGAAATTCAAACTCTTTATACAGAGCCAACGAATAGTGTAATGGTCAATTTTTTAAGAACATTATCCATGTATTCCTGTTTCTTTCTTTTTTAATCAGTAGCACCTAATTTCATTTCATCAGTACTCAGCTTCTCTATCTTTATGAATAGGTTTGCAAGTCAATTAGTATTAATAGAAGAATTATAACCAGTAGTTTGCTTGGTTCCAAGAGGTTTATGCCGGCTTATTATGAAAACTATGATGATAAATTTCAATGCATATAAATTATTATGAAATGAGTCGTGGTGGGCGCCTTAAATTTGAAAGGCACAAGGAACTCATCTTCCATTCCTTGGAGGTTGCCTCAGTATCTAAAATCACGTGCCCTCTGGCAATTTGCCTTTCACTTGAGGTCCAGCGACAAGTGTAATTGACCCCAATGTCACCATCTAGAATACTGGTAACGAGTATGCTGCATTGGACAGATCAGTTGTTAAAAATACCATTCAAATGCTACCATAAATGGGCACATGGCTGTCAAAGCTACTATCTGGACAGGAATAGTCATGGTATTATTTACTTTGCTGTTCCATCTCCTATTTGCAAGGACACTACTGAATACCATAATTGGTGGATTTTCATTTCTTCTTCGCGAATAATGTCCTTTGTTTGTTATTATACTTCCAATATGACAGGTGACTAGTGAAGCTTAAGGCGATAATTTGAGACAACCCTAATGTTATTTGTAATCTGTTTCAGCCAAAAGCTGATTTTTCTGTTCTTTTTGCTGCGCTAAAAATTCTGAGTTTAAGTAATTAAAACTTGGAACTAGTGCTTCCTTCTTGCAGACTATACCCTTTTTATTTATTTAAATGATTAACTAACTAGATGCACTTCAATGTAAATTCCAAGTTGTATCAATCAAGTTTTTCTACGTGGTCTGTTATGCCTTAATATTGTCATTATCTCTGGATATCTTTGCTCCATATATGGTCATTGGTAGGTTTTGGAAAGCAAAACAAAGACCAAGTACTGGAGAGAAATTAAGGAAGAGATTTGTATGATTGTATTGATTTTACAATAATGGTTTAGCTGTTGATTTACTTGGTTGAAAATATTACTTGACCGGAAAAAGTTGAAGATGTTTATACTTCTGTTTCGAATCTTTTGAGAAACTGTTGAAGTTCACGGTAAAGCCATAACTTACAAATAGATTTACTTTGTTTTGCTTAACAGAGACTTGGGATTGTGAAACTGTTCTTATTATTTAAGTATTTAACTCATTATTCTTTAAAAGAGGAAATTCAATTGATTTGGAGAAGAGATGAAAATGGGAGGATCAGAAATTACTAAAATACAATCCAAAAGGTAGTACGCGTATTGCTTGCCATGGTTCTACAAATATGTTAGCGAGATGTTTCAAAAATCACATTTTCTAATGCCTATGGCAAATACAGAAGTTGATTCTATTCTACAGTAACTCTGCACGCACAGATTGATTGTTAAAAGTCCGGCAATCCTGCCCTTTTGAACAACCCAAAAGAAATTCTGACCTAGCACATTAAAATAGAATTCTTCCAATCACAATTTAGTTGCATGAATATCAAATAATTTAAAAAAAATCCACCATCATTGATTCAGGTACTGATAAATTCTTTGTTAATGATTGAAACTAGGTTGGTCAAGCCTTTAGTCTTTTCCTTTCTTTAGAAAGACTGCTATTATCACTGCTTCTCTTCTTTAATTTTCGGCACACTGTTTATTAAGAACTTTGAAGTCGTCCTACATGATTTTATAACCTTATCTACTTGTATATCCCTTTAAGGTTGGTTATTTCATTTGTTTTTTTCACATTGTCTCATAATGTTTGTCTCCTAAAATATCAGTCATTTTACATTTTATATCCAATTTTCTGTTCCCCATGCCTCATTAGCCTTTCTGAATTGTCCTCTAATACTTGGCACCTAAAAGATCAGTCATTTTACCTTTTGTTTCCAATAATGACCCCACTCTAACAAATGAGCAAATTATCCAGGTAGTCACTAAACTTTTTCAACAGTCAAGATTTGGCCACTCAATTATTAGTAGCACGTCTTTACCCATTAAACTATCAAAAGTGTAAATTTTGGGTCATTCCGTCTGATTTCACCGTTAACTCTGTTAGATCAAAGGGTCTGCATGAGTTACGAGACATACTATTAATTGTTAGATTTGATAGAATTAAAGGGAAAATCAGATAGAATGGCCCAAAATTTATACTTTTAATAGTTTAGTGGGTAAAAACATACTATTAATAGTTGAATGGTCAAAACTCGATTATTCGAAAAATTTAATGGCTATCAAGATAATTTGCTCCTAACAAATTTGCCTTATCTGGCAGACAGACACTCAAGAAATATACTTAACTCAGATCATCAATGCTGTTGATACAATTATGTGTCCTTCCTTCTCAGAAGGGACGAAAAAAGTGTCCACTACAATCATGAGCATCTTTTCATTTGACATGAAATTAGTGGTAGAGCCAAGAATGATTTGAAGTAGGGGCAATAACAATATTAATTATTTATTTTTGTTTTTTAGGAGTAAGACATAGTGACAATATTCAAATAACAAGTAGAAGTGATATATCTCCTTTGGAGTTATAGGCATACTAAGATAATAATACTTTTTTTTTTTTAAATTAAAATAAGTCCACAACAATGGAGTTTAACAAAAAAAAATTCCACAGCAATGGAGTGCATAAACAAGTTTTAAGATTACTTTATGGCAGAAGCAAGAGGCTTATTGGATTCTTAGATGTTCCATTTCCATCAAATTACAAGTTCAGTCATATATATATATGTTTCCACACCAATGGAGTGCAAAAACAAGAAGTTTTAAGAGAACTTTATGGCAGAAGCAAGAGGCTTTTTTGGATTCTTTGATGCTCCATTTCCATCAAATTACAAGTTCAGTCATATGTATATGTTTACTTCTCAACAACTTAATGGGGGAAATAAATTAAATTGTTTTAAGATTTTGTGGATAGCAATATAATTTTCTGTGCATATGCCCCTGATGTAGATCTTCCATTGAATGGAAGCAAGGTATCTTTAACTATTGTAACAAATATTGTGGCTGATGCAATTGCTACTACAGAGGTGTGCCATAGCTGTTTTTAAACTAGTGACAGAAAAGATTGATTTGAAGTAGCTCTGAAAAAACAAGCATGTCGACCATTTCTAGACATTGCCAAGTGAAGGGTGCATGTGTATCAGTGGAGTAGGAGGATGTGGAAAAAGATGAAAAGAAAGAGAAAGGAGAATATCATGCTAAAAACTCTACAGTTGAGGTGCTCCAGGAATTTTCCCCCCCTTTGTGTTAGAAAAACTAATTTGCTTTCCAATTAATTGCTTGATGCATGAGCGTATCTGCTGTAAATGGTGTGCGCTTCCCCTTAGCAGTTATTTTGTAGTAAATGCTGATTGAGCAAAATATTATTGATGCAAAAATTCATATTTCACTAGATTGAATACACTGTGAGATATGGATAAGTCCTAACATGACTTTTGATAAATGGCTTTAGATGGTTTATAGTCATCTGGTGATGATTGTATGAATGATTTTGCATCTTCAGGATGTTATTATACCTTGAAGGAAAGTAATTCCTTTCATTTATTCCAGTGGTTGCACTTGTTGATTGCCTAAAGGGATCCCCATTTAGATGTCATCTTTTGTTTTCTGATGTTGCCTTTATTGCAGGAACCATGCCTACTTTCACATGTACGGATGTACAATAAATCCGTGTTGGAATGGGAAATTTCAGTGGGCTTGCGATACAAGGTTGGTTAATTATACGCTTTCACCTATGAATTGATTGAATAATTGAATTAAATTTCAAATCCAGCAAAGAAAGTAATTTAATGGTTATTTGTGTACTTGATAGTGGCTGTTTGTACAAGACTTCTATTGCCTCTCTTTGGTGGCTACAGAAACCCCTTTAAACTTTTGATTCAGAAATACAATTTTCTTTCCTTCCTGAATTGCAATTGGAGTCTTATGAATTTTTCTTCATAGCCAGAGACATTTCTAAAAGTTCGACCCCGCTGTGAAGCACCTCGGCGAGACATCGTTTACCCAATGAACTACAGTCCCTGTCGCTTTGTTCGAATATCTTGTTTGCGGGGAAACCCGATTGCTATATTTTTCATTCAGGTCAGATTTGGATTTATACATATACATACATACACACACATATATATATATGTGTGTGTGTATTGATCGTGCATAGTTATTTGTCAATTGCTTTTCTTTGCATTTCTCTGCTTTTGTTCCTTTCTTATTACAGCATTTTTGAGCTTTTAATTGATAGCTTGAGCAGTGTTACATTTGAGGATTCATTTGTCTTTTTTACAGTTCCCCATGTTTATATATATCATTGTTAAGTCAAATAGTAGAAAGAGTTTAAGGATTTTACCTGTTTCTTTAGCTGATTCAGAATTTTTTTCCTGAAGAATCTGTTTTAAGAGAAGGTTATTTTTCCTTATCTGGCTATTTTAAAATAGCTTCTGAAAGCATCTCCAGATATTTTCTTTTGAGCTCAAATAATTTTAAAATAGGTGATAAGTAAACCCCAACACCTTAAAACTACTTGAAGCTTATAAAATAGCTTAAATAAGTAAACCCCAACGCCTTAAAACTACTTGAAGCTTATAAAATAGCTTAAATTAACTTATTCTAATGGGTTTGTCTACACTGCTGCCTCGGAGCTGTTGCATGCGGTTATAAGAAAAGTGGAATTTTTTTTTTAAATAATGGAAAGAGCATCTTTACTTGCAGGTTAGGATGTGCATTCCTCATGATCCATAGTTTTTGAGTTCTTGTACATGGGCCCTTGATTGGTTTCAATCAGTCAGTGTAGTGTAATAATTGTAGTTTCCTTTTCTCTTGGCTTATTTTGGGCTGTGCTTAGGGTTTTGTAGTTTACTTGTCTTGTAGGAAAAAACAAACAGAAACAAAATATTTTCCATTGTTTTCTGGTGCCAGCCAGATATACCTGTCTCAGTTGCTCTAGATTATTAACACCTTTCATGACGTTTGGGCCAAAAACTTATGGTGAATGGATTACTGGGATTTTGAGTGGCACAATCTTTTTAGCTTTCTGTGTGCATCAAGATGGGTGCATATTTCTATAAGAATTGGGTTCTCTTCAATTGCTACCTTCTGCTTATATGATCAAGCGAAGGATGCCTAATTTCATGGAAGGTTAATTGTGTCCTCCCCCCTCCCTGCTCCCCCCCCCCCCACAACACAAAAAAAATAAGAATTTTGTTGTTTCATCAGGAAAGTCAATCAACTTTGTGCAAATCTCGTTTATGTGGCTGGTGTTTGATTTGCATCCAATTAATTCATGAGCTTGTTTGGTAAGATTAATGTTCCCTGGGTTTTACACAGAATTGCTAAGTTTGTGTAATGACCAGAAAAGGTTCATCCATTTCCACTAGCTGCATGTTACACGAAGGAACTTCAAAAAGGTATCTTATGATCATAGCAGAAAAAGGTCGAGTTATCTTGAAGTTTTAAAACTGAGTATTAGATGGAAAATTGCAAGCAATAGTTCAGCCATAGGTGTAGGCCATCTTTAACATGCAATTGATTGTATTGTACTGATGGTTTGGTGGTTTATTCTTTTTAAACTGTGCCTTGTATTTTGTTGTTATTTTTAATGTTATTTCCACTAGCTGCATGTTACACAAAGGAACTTCAAAAAGGTATCTTATGATCATAGCAGAAAAAGGTCGAGTTATCTTGAAGTTTTAAAACTGAGTATTAGATGGAAAATTGCAAGCAATATTTCAGCCATAGGTGTAGGCCATCTTTAACAAGCAATTGATTGTATTGTACTGATGGTTTGGTGGTTTATTCTTTTTAAACTGTGCCTTGTATTTTGTTGTTATTTTTAATGTTAAATAGGGTATCTTACTGTATTGATTTGTAACTGTTGGAAATCTGTTTGGCTACCTGTATCATTGTTGAAAAGCTGTAGTTCCAGTTCCCTTACAATGTAAGATTGTTATTTAGGATTAATTTATTGCATATGATAAAGTCAATGGTTAAAGTGCTATGCTTAGAACGTTAAATCAAATCAATGCTTATAAAAAAAAATTCATTGAAGATGCAAAATCCGGTTTTTATTCTTTTCATATGAAGTTCGTTGGTGCTTCTTAATGTCTCTGGCCATGGATATAATTTGTATAGTAGTCTGTCTTTTATCATGGAACTAAACAAAAATTGGCTCCTTCCATTATATGAGTTTGCAAGCTTTTTGCAACCTCGGTTGGATGCATTTTTTGTTGTCACACCACTTAATTCCTACTTTTAGCTTTACCTCCAAGTAAATGAAGTTTTCAGCAGCTCTTTTTTATCTTATCATCCCCATTTACTCTTTATACTTGTGGTTGCATGCTGACTAAGCTTCTACTACTTGACTATTTTCTGTGTCTTCTCTGCAGTTGATTGGGATTTCTATACCTGGTCTTGAACCAGAGTTTCAACCAATTGTTAATTACCTGCTTCCACACATAATGTCTCACAAGCAGGATGCTCATGATATGCATCTCCAGGTGAGACATTTAATCGAACATAACTTAAAGTGAGCATGAATCTTGATCTTGTTCATGATTTTGTAATATATAATTGCATGCAAAACAGTTGCATATGTACTTACAGATGTACATATGTATCATTAATTCTTGTTGCTTTCTAAACTTTTTCCTTGTAGTTGCTTCAGGGGATGACTAGCCGATTGGTGACCTTCCTTCCTCAGCTAGAGGTACAATTTTCTGAATTTGTAAATCTTAGACATCTAAAGTTTCATAAGCATGATCTTCCATCCAAAGTTCTTCATTTGTGTTCAGAATGCCATTTGATTGCATGCAGGTGGATCTTAATGGCTTTTCAGAAGCTGCCGAACCTACTTTAAGGTTTCTTGCTATGCTCGTTGGTCCATTTTATCCAATCCTACGTGTTGTAAATGAAAGGTCGGTAGAGTTGCTTTCCATGTTTTTAAAAATTTTGTGATGACATTCAAATCAGCTGCTTTCCTCTCTCTCTCTCTCTCTCTCTCCCCACACAGATAAATCACATGAACATGAGTACATTTATGGGCACGCTGCACGCATCATTGCATACACACATGTATATGTATATCTCTTCCTTCGTGTCTGTGTTGTGTGTATAGTCACGGTGTCACATACATCAACGTATGCACATATATCTGTATGTCAACCTGGATATGTATTTATATCTTCTTGCACACGTTTGGAATTAGTAATTATCCTTTTCAAAAATAGACCTATTTTGCTGAATATTGATTTGTTTTTAAAGTGAAAAGTTAATATACATCAAGTGCGGTCTGTTCATATTTTTGTCACATGCCTTTATTTTGCCTTTCAACTAAAAGGAGGAGCTGCTTATCCTTCTTTTTGACTCTCTATAGAAATTTAAAATTTTTTTTGAATTAGAGTTAATTGTTCCAGATATCATTTCCTTTAGAGAAAGGGGAGCGAAAGTTTGTTGGCTTGAGTGCATCCAGGGATGAGATTTTGATGATGATTGTATGATTGGCCTTTGTTTTGAGTGATTCTTTGCATACTGAAAAGTAGAGTTGTGGGGATTTAACTTCAGGAAGCGATGTTTCCTTGCAACTTTTTTCCAACTTTTGCAGGGAAGCTGCTAAGGTTGCAGGCAATGTTTCAGACTATGAAGCTTCTAAGAATAGTCAAGTTTCGGTGGCCTTCACTGTTTCCTCTAACTTTGAGGTGATTTTGAGTTCTTGCTTCCTCTTAAATTTTATTTAATTGTGACTTACTGTTTTTTTTTAATCATCCATTTAGCCAAGGAGATTACGTAGTGCATCTGCGTCTACCTTGCCCTCCTCCAGTTACTTGGTTTTTCGCCCAGATGCAATCTTCATGTTGTTGAGGCTAGCTTATAAAGATCAGAACCTGGGAAAAGTTTGTGCAATGGTAATTATGCTTTCTTCATTTTATTTTGTTAAAAAAAAGTACATTGTGTTGAAAAACTAAAAGAATTTCATTTTAGGTTACTTCTCTTGGGAGTCTAACTTTAAATGTCTGTTATTTTATATGTTAAAGTCGCATCTTTTAAATATCCCTTTGACCTTTGCATGAAAATTGAATGGTTCTCAAGTATGACGAAATATATGAGGCTGATGATATATTGATATCATAGGGCCATAAGTCATATAATCAAATGTAAGTTTTGGAACAAAGTAAGATGAAAAAGGCTCTGTTTTGGAGGCCTCGTGTGATGGCTTTGCAAAGGAAGATGATTAACTCAATGAAACATGACTAGGAATCTAGAAGTCAACATGCAAAATGAAACAATGCTCCACTACTTGCTCCCCCAATTTTTTTGTCTCCTCCCTCGATGTCTTGTACTTCTTCACTTGTATGGTTTAGCAAGGCTTTTATGCAAATAAGCTGACACTCATGACCTAAGGGATTTATTTTGGAAAGTTGTATGCTCTTTTGAATGGCCTAAATTTTCATCCTGATGGCCTTTCTCATGCTCTATTTCAGGCATCTCAAATTCTGTTGAAGTTGACAGATCCTGCAGAGCAAGAAGGTCCTAGTGCTGCCTCTGATATAGCCTCTGATGAAGCATCTAAATCTGAAACTCATGGGCCTCTCTCTTTTGTTGATTACTCGACCTTGTTCGGAGAAGAAATAATCCCACCAGATTGTAATCCTGAGCCTAACTATTTGAATATCTTGGATATTGCAACAGTGGAAGAAGGACTGTTGCACCTACTGTATGCTTGTGCCTCCCAGGTAGATTGCAACACCCTGTCATATGTAACCAATACTATTTACTGCTAAATGCCTCCTATTTTGGGCGTCAATTAATACTTAAATTTGGTGTCTCACAGCCTCGTCTCTGCAGCAAATTGGCGGATAGCATTTCGGACTTTTGGTTGGCACTACCTCTAGTACAAGCACTGCTTCCAGGTTTTAGACCTCATATTTTGGATCTGTCTGAGTGTGGATAACAAATGCATGAGATTAGCAGCAATGCCAATTGATAGTGAAAATTTTTTCAAGTGCATATCCTTATTCTATAATTCTTCCCACAATTTCAAGAATGTCACTATTTTGTGCTATCTAAATAGTCTTTCAATTTTTTGTTGGAGAGTTTTGGACATTTTTTATTAACATAAATTTATATTTCTTCTGTAGCACTTCGTCCAATTGTCAATGGTCCAGATCAAATAGATGATTCCTTCTCACAATGGAAACAACCTTTTGTGCAACGTGCCCTGTCAGAGGTATTATGGTGGTTTTGATATTGATATGATTTTTCTATTCTTTTGCCCTATGAAAGAACCTTCTTGGCTTTGTGTAAAAAAAATTGCAGGTTGTGGCAATGTCATCTTCATCAGTTTATCGTCCTCTTCTTCGTGCTTGTGCAGGCTACTTGGCATCATTTTCCCCTTCACATGTTTGTCTTTCTCCTGTTTCTTTTCTCATCTAAATTTTAGTTTTGGAGGTGATGATGCACTTTTTGCTTGAGAATATGGGTTCATCTTCGAAGCCTCTTGTTTGTCTCATGCACCCATACGCACATCAATACATCCATTTATTAATTAAACATGTTGTGGGCCTGAGCATCCAAAAGCCTAGATCTTATTTTTATTAATCTGGAAGTAGCCCATAGAGCATATCAGAGTAGAATGTTATATCCATTTATAATTCTTGGAGAGTGAATTGCATAAGATTTTCGTGTAATATGTAGATTTAGGTCTTTGTTGTTCTTGGCAATCTCAATTATTTGAAGACGTTTGCTGTAAACAAGCATAAGTAGTTTGTGATACTTTTTTCCATGTAAACGTGAGGGAAGAAAGATTAAAATGCATGATATATGCAATTGTAAACAATATCACTATTGTTCCTTGGAGCTAGAACTACTTTGCCATGTACATCTTAGCTTTGCTGGTCAACAGATTCATTACTTTCCAGAAATTAAAGCATTTTGGTGTCATTTTTTCCTACAGGCTAAGGCAGCATGTGTCCTTATTGATCTCTGCTCTTGTGTGCTAGCACCATGGATGGCTCAAGTGGTTGCGAAGGTAAGATATGCATTGATCCATTGCATCCATTATTTTTTGGTCTCTTAGTGAAATCTCTGAAGTGATAGTTTGGTTCTAATGCAGATTGACTTAGCTGTGGAGCTTGTGGAAGACCTTTTCACCGAATTACAGGTATATGGCAGTGCTGAGTTATCAATAATTTTAGTAGCTAGAAAATAATTTTTAGTTAGAATTACTGATTAGTATGATTATAAGAATCAGATAAGAGTAGAGCTGTCTTTACATTTTTGAACTTTATTATCAACTTGCATTATAAATTTAGAACCATGCTGATTCCTTCTCTATGTACTAACATGCATATATAGTGCTGTAACACATGGAAATTCATGTCGTGTGTTCATGCACGAATACTCCAAAACGTTCTGACTGTTTTGATAGTTCTGTTTCAGTGTAAATGGTTTATTTTCTATCATTATGATAGTGTGCAGTCACATTTTGTCCTGCACATTTGATCATTTATACTATGGTTTGCATATTGAATAGTAGTCGTGAGAGTGGCAACACTATTGCTTCATTTATTTTTTGGCCATCAACACTATTTATTTTTTATATTTGCGTATTGGATATTAGTCATGAGAGTGGCAACACTATTGCTTCATTCAGGTTTTGGCCATCAACACTTTTTATTTTTTATATTTGCGTATTGGATATTAGTCATGAGAGCGGCAACACAATTGCTTCATTGAGTTTTTATCCATCAATACTTTTTATTTTTTATATATTCCTTAAATTCTATTTGCGTATTGGATATTAGTCATGAGAGCGGCAACACAATTGCTTCATTGAGTTTTTGGCCATCAACACTTTTTATTTTTATATATTACTTAAATTGTAGGGGAAATAATGAAGAATTTTCTTTGCTTATTGAATACTTTAGTACTTGTCACATTCCATTGTGGATGAGAAAATTTTCTGAAGAATTTACCATGATATACCTGATTCATGCACAATATCTTCCAAAAATCGATAGGTCCTTGCGGCCTCACATGTTTTTCAATCCATGGCAAACCCCCTACCCTAGATTTTCAGCATTATTCTTTTATCTACCATTAATTAGTCAATTGTCTTCTGGTCTGATATTAGGTTTCTTTGGCATATGTTAATGGATTGCATTTTCCTAATTTTTGCTTTGTGGAATACAGTAAAATGCTTAACCAGAGAATGATCTGTTTAAGATGCATGTGATGGTAATTTGTTTTTCTGCTAGTCTTGCACATTATGAATTCCCTTTTAAGATACAAGTACTGATATGGAGACTAAATATACAACAAATTTCTACACTAAGGATTTTTGTTCTGCATAATTGCTAAAAAATTCTACATTTGTAATGCCATGTTGGTACATGCTGGTACGCTTATCAAGTTAAACGAAAAGGATGACCGTTTCTTCTGTGTCTTTGTTAGACAACTGTGTCTTTTATAGACAAAGATTTGCAATAAAAATTACTGTGGAAGGTATACCACTGCATAAAATATTCAGATTACTTTGTTGACATATCTTAGATTCATCTTTAATGGACCAATATGAAGATTCCGGATATCAGAATAAGAAAACTGTATTTAAGCTTGGGAAAAAAAGCTTATAACCTTTTCTTTCAACTAACTTATTGACCTTGGTTGGCTTGAGGGATGCTGCATGGTTATTTCTTTTACCCCATAGGAGCAAATATGTTAAAATATACTACCATCCAATTGTAACACCTCCAGTCTTCTTTCTGTTAAGCTCCCGTTAAGAAGTTGTATTGTCTTCCTTCATGGTTGTCTTTAGATCACACATTTGGAGCTCCAGTGTCTAAATTTCTGGCCATGTCAGACATCTGTGGTTTTTAAATAATCTGTACTTCTGGGTTGTCTTGTGTCATTAGCATGTTTAGATCACACATGGGTGAAGTTTCTGGTAGGAAGTCTGTATTGTCTCCCTTCATGGGTGTCTTTAGATCACACATCTAGAACACCAGTGTCTAAATTTATGGCCATGTCAAATGTCTCAGGATTTTAAATAATCTGTAATTCTGGGTTGTCGTGTCGTTAGCATGTTTAGGTCAGACATCTAAGCTCCCTACTCTAAATGTTTGGCCACATGAAGTCCTTTTCAACTCTTGTACATTTGGGTTTTGAGAATTTACAGTATGCAGACAAAATTATCTGTCAGGGTGTGTAATAGTACTTACATGTGGGAAGAGGTGCTCTTTCATGTTTCTTGATTGTTGGACGGACAAAATCATCTGGCGGGCCTTTATCTTGAATTGAACTATGAAAAGGGACAGGTGAAGAAAGATAAAATCATGGCCTTCCATTGCTGACCTTTGGGTGCCTGGTGTACACTCAGTGAACATGGATATTTGAACACGAAAGTTGCTAACAGATATCTGGTGTTACAGAAAGCAATTACAATCATTTGCTCAACCAAAATTGAATATGTCAGAACCTATTGCTCCTTTTATTTTTACTCCACCAGAATAAAGTTCATTTACCTTTACACCTGTTACTTTGACATAAATTTCAAGATATTTCGTCAATCATATATGTGCTGCAATCTGGAGCCAATGCTGAGCCATGCACATCTTATTTACACATTCAAAGTTTCTGGAGGGCTTGTTCTCAACAGCTTAGGAAAAACTATCAAGAGATAAGTTATTGTTGAAAAAATAAATGCCTTGTTTGGATTGTGATTTTTTGTCAAAAAATTTCTACTTTTTCTGTGAATACATCTTTTAATCACCTCTTTATCTCACATATATCAAATTGTTACAGTATATAAAATAACAATCCAAACATAGCGAAAGTTAATTTTGGAAATTTGTTGAAAGATTTAATAACATATTTCTGTTATTCATGTTTTTAAAAGCTAAAAGCTGTCTTTGGAAATCAACTAAGGCCTGCTTCCCAAGATCAGCTTTTTCCAAAATAAAAAATGCTGCTTGTAGCTTATTATAAGATGTTGAAAGTCTATAGCTGCTTGTCTCACTTGAGTTCTTTGTACCTGAATAGCTCTGTTCAAATTTCCTCAGCTGCCTTGGTGTCTTGCTTGCAAAATAAACACCATCTTTGCTATTGCTTGAACTGTTTTGGGTAGCTTCTGTCATCACAATTTTTTTCTTTGCAGAATGACCTTTTCCTACAATAAAAAATCTTAAACCTACACCTTTTATCTGGCCTGTTTGTCAGGGTGCTCAAGTCTTATTTGCTCGTGCACGTGCAGCCCTCAAGTATTTAGTGTTGGCATTATCTGGGAAAGTGGATGATATAATGGCCAAATACAAGGTTGGGCTTTGGTAAAATTTCCTGATGTTTTAGTCCTCCTATAGTTTCTGCGGTTATTTTGATATTTCAATAGTGCTTGACATTTTTTATTCTGCATCATGGTTTCCAAATGTCATATCTTCCATTTTCTGTCATAATTACTGTGTTTTCCAGGATGTGAAGCACCAAATTCTTTTTCTGGTAGAAATGCTGGAACCTTTCCTGGATCCGGCCATGACTCCAGTGAAGAGTGTGATATCATTTGGAAATGTCTCTTCTACATTTCTTGAAAAGCAGGAGCATAACTGTGCAATAGCACTGAACGTGATCCGTGCTGCCACGAGAAAACCTGCTGTGCTTCCATCCTTAGAAGCTGAGTGGAGGCGAGGATCAGTTGCTCCCAGGTAATAGGAAAACTTACTAAGAATCTTCTGTGAAAATCCTTTTTCTTAGGATTTCGCTATTTGTTTCCTCTTATATACAATTTGCAATCTTTATGATTTAGTGGGATGGCTTTGGTATTGTATCCAAGAACTTTTCACTGATTATTCTATTGCTCCATGGTAATAAGCTCATATTCGTGTGATAAATATTTCTGCAGTGTACTTCTCTCAATCCTAGAGCCTCACATGCAGCTACCTGTGGGTATTGACCTGCGCAAATTTCCTGTTAGTGAATCACCAGAGACACAGTCATTAACTGTTTCATCTTATGCATCTGTTTCCCAAAATGGAGGAGCCTCTGCCAAGTCAAACAGTCAAGATGATAGTGATGGAAGGACAGATAATTTTGATATCACAGGGAAGATGGATATTACTGAGGAGTTAAATGCTCTTTTTGCCCCATCAGAATTGGCTAGTTTGTCTCTCACAAATGCTTCGTGCAGTGTAGACCTAAAACAGTCAGATTCCGACTCTTGCAATGTTAATATGGAGGGAAACAATATTCCAAAGGATTCAAACAAGCAATCACAAGATAATGTTCTACCAAATAACATTTTTGTGGTAGAATACTCTAATTTACAAGCTGATTATTTGCAGCTTATCAACTATCGAGACTGTGAGTTGAGGGCTTCTGAATTTAGACGTTTTGCTCTTGATCTGCAGTCTCAAAGTCCTCTTGCTCCAGAAGGTCATAATACTGCCATAGATGCTTTGCTCTTGGCAGCAGAGTGTTATATTAATCCTTACTTTATGATGCCCTTCAGGAACACTTCTCAGGATATTAACAAAGGCAATGTGAATAGGAACTCTGAAAGCTATGGACTGACAGATGTCAGAAGGGTTCTAGAAAAGAAAGATACCGAGTTGAAAATAGTAGACGGTCTTGAAAGAAAAAGAGATAAAGCTGTTCTTGAACTCCTGCTTGAGGCAGCAGAGTTGGATAGAAAGTATCAGAAAACAGCATTGGATGCGGAAATTGATACTTCACATATTGAAGAGCGCGAGGAAGTCATAAGTTTGGCACCGGATGGTATTCTGTTTGCAGATGCTATCACCTTAGTGCGGCAGAATCAAGCACTTTTGTGCAATTTCTTAATTCAGAGATTACAAAGGAACGAGCAGTCTGTGCATGAGATTCTCATGCAATGTGTTTTGTTTGTGCTGCACTCAGCAACCAAACTGTTCTGTGCCCCTGAGAGTATAGTTGATATAATACTGAACTTTGCTGAATTCTTCAATGGGCTACTGAAATCAATTTATTATCAGTTCAAAGAAGGAAATTTGCAGTTGGATCAGAGCAAGCTGCATGAGGTACAACGTCGATGGGTGCTTCTTCGGAGATTGGTAATTGCTTCAAGTGGCACCGATGAGGAATCAAGTACCTCCATAAGCGTTCAAAATGGTTTCCGGCTTGCAAACCTTATTCCACCATCAGCGTGGCTGCAGAAAGTATCTGTATTCTCTTGTTCTGCCTCTCCTCTGGTTAGATATCTTGGTTGGATGGCAGTGTCTCGTAATGCCAAACAATATCTGAAAGACCGCCTTTTCCTTGGTTCAGATCTGTCCCAGTTGACATATTTGATATCAATATTTTCTGATGAACTTTCTCTTGTAGACAATATTGTTGATCAGAAAAACGACAAGCAGAAGACTGAAGAATCAAGAGTTAGGGACACAGGCAATGAGCAAGTGCTAGGACATTCCAGTCAAGAATATGTGGATCTATCATTTCATGCTATATACCCTGAGATTAGTCAGTTCTTTCCCGATCTAAAGAAAGAGTTTGAAGCTTTTGGAGAATCCATACTAGAGGCTGTAAGGTTGCAGCTGAGATCTCTATCATCGGCTGTGGTGCCTGATCTGATGTGTTGGTTTTCTGACTTGTGTTCATGGCCTTTTCTAGGACAAGAACAAGGTCAACTTTATTCTAAAAAGAATCCTGATAATTTGAAAGGTTTTGTGGCAAAGAATTCAAAGGCTGTTATCCTGTTTGTGCTTGAATCCATTTTGTCTGAGCATATGGAAGCAATAGTACCAGAATTACCTAGGTTGGTGCAAGTTCTGGCGTCACTTTGTAGAAGCTATTACTGTGATGTGACGTTCCTTGATTCTATATTGCATTTACTAAAGCCAATCATAGCACATTCTTTACATAAGGTCTCTAAAGAAGAAATCCAATTGAGTGATGATTCATGTTCTAATTTTGAGTCTCTATGCTTTGATGAGCTTCTTGATGATATTAGGCAGAACAATAATGATCAAGGACATCAAAAAATTTATTCCAGGGCATTAACAATTTTCGTTTTAGCCACAGTTTTTCCTGATCTATCCTTCCACTGCAAAATGACAATTTTGAAGTCCTCCCTCTGCTGGGCTGATTTTGCTTCTTCTGAACTGAAGACTTCATTTCATGATTATCTTTGTTCCTATCAGACCCTAATGGAAAGTTGCAAAAACTTTTTGGTTGGGACATCCAGAGTCTTGGGTATCATTCCTTTTAAGACATCCCTCTATTGTGATGGAAGAGTATGTGAATCTCTCGATGACAGCTCTGAGTCATGCTCATGGTTTCTTGGTGATGTCTGTAACCTTGCTTCTTCGACTGAGGTTCCTGAGAACCTTGAAAAGGAAAAAGATACTGCTGTTCACATAAATGAAAAGGATTGTAAATTGACTTCTGAAGAAATAGTTGAATTTTCAGAGGAGTTAGAGTGCCTCATTAATAAGCTTTTTCCAACGCTAGATGAATGCTGCAAGATTCACCGTAAACTGGCAAAAAGGTTGGCTATTACTTCGGCAGAGTGCTTTGTGTACTCAAAATGCTTGTCAATGTTCAGACAAAGGTTACTTGTGCCCTCGCAAATTGATAAGGAAGGTATTATGCCAACCAGTGCTGAATATGTATCCATGGATTGCTGGAACGTCAGTCTACAAGAATATGCACAAATGATACTGGTGCTTCAGGAAAAACATTGCTGGGAAGTTGCATCAGTGATGCTTGATTGTCTACTAGGAGTGCCTGAATGCTTCAGTTTAGATGGTGTGATTGATAAACTCTGTTCTGCAATAATAAGCTTTTCTTCCAGGGCACCAAATATTGCCTGGCGGTTGCAGACTGATAAATGGCTGTCTTTCTTGCTAAGGAGAGGTACCCACCTTCTTCCCAACTGTGAAACTCCTATAAACGATGTGTTTGCTTCCATGCTTAAGCATCCGGAACCAGAGCAACGATTTATTGCACTTAAACACTTGAGGAAACTTATGGGTGAAGATGCAAATGGTGGAGCAGCTTCTTTATCTTTAAAGCCAACTGGTGGAGTAGCTTACTCAGACTTGGTTATTTCTCCTGTGCCAATATTATCAAGTCTGGTTGCTGGTATGTGGGATCAGGTGGCTTGCCTAGTGTCATCTGATACATCACTTCTTTTAAGAACCCATGCAATGGCGCTTCTTCTGAACTGCATACCTTTTGCTGGGCGGCAGAAGTTGCAGTCTTTTCTTGCAGCAGCTGATCAGGCTCTCCCAAGCCTAGCAAATCTGACACGGTCCACTTGTCAAGGCCCCGTATCAAAATTTTCTTTAGCACTCCTTGCAAATTGTTGCTTGCATTCTCCTGCTGAAGATATTTCTCTTATACCTGAAATTGTTTGGCAAAACATTGAATCTATTGGAGTGCTGGAGAATGGTATTGTTTCTTGGTTACCTTTATATATTTCCGAAAAGATGGAAGCAGTTTAAGCATGTCCCTAATGTTTTTGCTTTTATTTCCATTTCTGTTTTTAGAAAGCTGTCCTTTGAGCTTGGAGAGAAGGGCTTGCCAAGCCTTATGTAGGTTGAGAGCTGAAGGGGATGAGGCTAAGCAGGTAAGCAGTTGACTTTGGTTTGATGAGGCATATTGGTTTAGGTTGGTAATTTAGGCAGCAAAGGCTTTCTATGGTCCAATGTTTTATTTCTCTGTCTTCTTCTAGTCCAATTTTCCAAGGTAGAGAGCTTTTTTCTTTTTCGATGAGTTTTCATAGAGACCTCAGCCTTAATGTTATCCTAACCCCTGGGAAAATTTGTTTTGTCTGTGTAAGATGCTGCAAGAGGTGCTCTCTTCAGCTTCTCCAGAACAACTTGATCCAGACTTTAGAAGTACACGCGAATCAATCCTCCAGGTACAGAAGCATTATTTGGTTATCATCTTGCAATTCAGGAGTGTGGAATACCATTATCATGCCCTGGGGGTAAATGGCGTTTTGTTTACCTCCTATTTTCTTGCGTGGATAGGTTGTTTAGCGAGTTGAGATGAATGAGGTTTTGAAATGAACCTTGGTATTGTAGCTGTGACTTATTATTTTTCTTTTGGAATTTTTTTAATGCCTTTTACTTTGTAAATGATTAAAACCCTATCCTAGTTGTTTTTCTTTCTTTTTTTTTCGCCCCTCATTGTTTAATGGGCTAAATTATTATGATCCAATCCTTGAGTTTAGCACAAATGCAAGGATCTGGCCTAGCAGATAACCCTTTTTTTCTTTGCCCCTTTCTTTGGTGGCAGTGGCAGCGATGGTGTTAATATTTTTGTAGGGGGGGGTAGGTTGGATCATGAATTGGATCTTTATATGGAGGCATTTGAAGCTTCTCTTCAGAACACAGATACTATTGAATAATGGATGACAACCGTATTTAGACAGTACATTAGGGGTTTTCACCAACTGCTTTAGCTAACTAGGATCTTGTATTTAGAGGGTTGTTTATTTCTTTTGTATCATCTTTCTCATGTGGAATGAGAATTTGTCATGGTAACTGGGCTCTGGAAAATCTTTTGTTTGGTTTATTTTTTTTTCTTATCATGCCTTATCAGAAATTTTGTTTTTCTGGATTTGACCTGATTGCTGTGGCTATTTAGCTTTCATATTTTGAATTACTTTTTACTTTACATCTGTTCATGCTTCCACATAGTTCTTATTCAGATAGAAGATTTGGAGTATTGAATTGTGAGATGATTTCCTTCTTGTGTCTACTTGGATTAGACAATTATTTAGGAAAGAAAGTTGAACTGGTAGCTTACCTTTGTTCACCAGTTTGTCACATTCCTTTCTTGGTATCATCTCAACGTATTTGTATTTGGTGATTGTGATTGCAGTATTGACTTGTTTTATATTCACATCATACTTTTTCTATCACTTTCTGAAATACTTCGCTAAATTGTTACTTTTTCTAATTATTTACTCTTTCTTTTGCGCCTTTTGTCTAATTTTACAGGTTATGTCCAACTTTACATCTGTCCAATCATACTTTGATTTCTTCCATAAAGAAATGGATAAAAAGTGCTTGGTCAGTCTTAAAATCCGTGGAAAAGTTCTTTTCATATGCCAATTCTCTTGTTGTAGCTAAATATGCGTTTTGCTTTAGGAATTTGAGGAAGCTGAGATTGAAATGGAACTTCTTCAGAAAGAGCATGCCTCACCAGAATCAGCTAATGATATTAAAGATTGGCATCGGCTTCCTTTTCTAGCTGGTAATGGAGTTCTCTGCTAGATAGTCCGATAATAGAAATCTACTATACCTTGTTTGTAACTTTTGGCATACGCACCAAATGAAGGCTCTTTTCGAGTGATGACCTTTTGTTGTTGTGATGAACATTATACTATTTTTATAGTGTACTAGATGACCCTTTTAAAATCAATGACCTTTTAGTTGTTGTTTCTTATATTACACTGTTTACTAATAGTGTAATGCTTGCTGTTTACAGTACCTAATCTCTCAGTGAGAGTTAATTAAGTTGATCTGGCATTTATTCAACCTCTTTTGCTCTTTGCAGACTGTGCAAAGGATGATAACCGTCTGCAGCAAATCAAGAATCACATTAGATCTCTGTATGCTCCAGCTTGCTATTTCTATGGATTTTTATGATTAGTAGCTAGTATTTAGGGAGGTTTTAGTATCACTTGGATCTCTTATCCAGAAACATGTTATGATGTTCTTGTCCCCATTTTGTTAGAAAGAGCAACAGAAGGCAATGTTTTCAAACAATGTCTTATTTTGTATGTTCAGATTTTTTGTGAAAAGACTTTTAACAATATTTGTCATTGGTGAAAGAAAAAGATAGTGTAGATGTATCACATTCCTGAAATGGTAAAGAGCAACATCTTCTTCTAAAAGCAGCCGGATAGAAAAGAAGAAAAGGAACTGAGGAACTTAATGCTTCAAGAGGATTATGTTCCATTTTGGAATCAGCAACAACTGGTACTTTGAAAATGTGAAGACTGAAATGCACTTCTGATTCCTTCTTTAAATATTCCCTCTACCATATCTTTCTCTATTTTTGTGTCTCCCATAAATTTGAGAACCTATGATACTTTCTGGATTCTTTTGCTGATTTCTGGTTCTAGATAATTCACCAATGGGAATCACAGAATTAAAACAACTTTATACATATATGTTGCTGCATTTTTTTTTTCTGTTTCACTATTATCAAATGATGTATTAGCTTCACTTTTTCTTGATGGATTTACGTTGCTAAAGTTCTGTATGAAATCTCTAATCAGAGAGAAGACAAAACTCAGAGAGGAGATTATAGCTCGCAGGCAAAGGAAGCTACTTCTAAAGCGTGCCCGTCAGAAGTACATAGAAGAGGCTGCTTTACGAGAAGCAGAACTTCTTCAAGAACTTGATAGGTTCTGCCTCCTTTTCCTTGTTTATATTATTTTCACTCCAGTTCAGTTCTGAATATGTTGATGCTGGAATCCATATCAGAGAGAGGACTTCTGAAGCAGAAAGGGACGTCGAGAGACAGCAGCTGTTGGAACTTGAGCGTGCAAAAACCAGGGAACTGCAGCATAATCTTGATATGGAGAGGGAGAAGAATACACAGGTAAGTTGTAAGATCATTTAATATGTTCCTGATCATCAGTTCTTACATATGGTAATCCGATCTGATGTCGCCTGATTCAGAGATATGTAGCCCTTTAGCAATTTTTAGCATCTTTAGTTCTTTCTCAAACTCTTTATTTGCATAGATAATTCTTTCTCATACTACCATGTTCTCTCTAGTTGTCAGTAACTTAGTCAAGCATCTCATGTAGTTCCCCCAATGCCTTCTGACATAATGATGCACATGAATGGTGTAATTTCCTAGTGACGGAGAAATATCCATATTCTTCCAGCCATGTATTTATTGTTGGAAAGAATTGCCTCATTTCTGTTATCCATCTTTGTGAGTTTATCAGTATCATTCAATCTGGGATTTCCCTATTCAGTTGTATCTGGATCCCTTTTACTTACCTGCCATCTGGTAAGATAAATAATCCAATTTTGAGATGCTTTTTAGTTGCTTGACCAAAATCCTTTAGCGTGTTTCTGAAGACAATCTTCTTCACCCCTCTGTGAAGCTGTAAACTGTAATAGTGGAGATATAAAGCTTAGTGTGATCTCCTTAGCTTAATCACACTATTGTTTTGGTCTATATTGAAACTTTTGATCTTTAAATTGATTTTGGTAATTCCTTTTTTCACTGTTTGACTACCTCAGCAGATGATCATATAAGCTTGTCCTCTGAAATGATTTGGGAAATGGTTGGTTAAAAGGTCAACAGACAACTCATTTTGATAATGCTTTGTAGATACATCTATACTTTAATTCTTAAGTGTATTTACTTGGGTTGGCGTTCAGTTATCCAATATCTTGGCAAATTGGTTGGGATGCTGGGCTAAAATGGAGTTTCAGTATCAATTTTTGCTTTTTATTCTGAGTATACCTCAGCTATTGGGATTCGTTATCTTTTAACTTGGACTACTGATCTAGGAGTGGATGGCAAGTTTATACCTGATTAGGCTGTAGACTTTACAGTTGCATCCTTGCTATAGCCTCTAAAATCCTTTTGAATGGAACTAAACCATCTTTCTTCTTGATCTCTTGAAGAAGATTGCTTGAAAGATTACCATGCATATGTGCCAAAGGTAGACTGCGTACATGAACATGGATACATGTTTATCTGATACGGATGAGTGTTTTGTCTTGTAGAGAGAACTCCAGCGGGAGCTTGAACAAGTGGAATCTGGAAACCGACCATCACGGCGGGAATTTCCCTCGTCCACTCATAGTAGGTAGGGCTTCATTAAATATCACGACCACATCTGATAACTTCTCAAGTATCTTACTTTCACGTGCTTGTTAATAATTGTTTGTTCGTTGTTTGACTGTCTCCTAAAAATTTGGAATTAGCTTTTCTTCAATTGTCTGATGCTAATGGTTGAGGTTGCATCCTTCAATAAACTGCGTGCTATATTGGGCCCTTCAGTAGGATTTCTCTTTTTATAGGCATGAGAACAAACATGTTGGGAACGTATAGTGTCAAAGAAAAGAAGAAACAGAAAAACTTGTTCTAATTGCCTCCCCTCCCCCCCTTTTGAAAGACAGCAAAATGATAGACTAAAGTAAATTTAGAATTGCAAGTCTCCTGAAACATCTCCATATGTCTTCCCCCTATGAAACTTAACCATAGCCATTGTTGATATATCTTGATTCTTGTATCAATTACAAGTTTTCTGGAGCACAAATGCTGTATAAAATTCGGCTAATTGCGGCATTGCTACAAATGCTATAAAAAGTTCACCAACTATTGCAACTGCAAAGGCCATCAGTGAATCATGATATCAATTGTCACAGTTGGAACTCTCTGCAATTGCAGCATTGCTATTAATTTGAATATAACATATACAGTTGTATACGCATCATACACTAAGTATTCGCCTAATCTGAGATAAACATGTTATTTATAGACATTCATGTATTATGCACCTTTTTGGTGCATGCCTGTGATTTTCTTGTTTGAATCTACTTGTGTATATCTTTTGTTCGTATACAAGATACATACATGTATAGATGCTACATACTGAAGGTTTAATGTTTTATATCTACACTGGGACATCAATAATACCCATTATTGGGAAAGCGGATTTTGGAGGGGGAACGGATTACTGAGTTTGAGCTCTGGTTGAGCAGAAATAGGGTGGTTGTTCTACTACTGATATTAGAATTGTCAGTGAGGACAGACAAAGGAGGGCTTTAGTGGAGCTGGAGTGCAAGGTGGTTATAGGCCACCAGAACGAGTGATAGGTGCAGGGTCCTGCAACTGCAACCACAGGGGAGCTCTGCTGTGAGGTTTCCGAAGGAGCCCAAGAATTTTGTTTTTAAATTTTAAAAGGCAGGCAATTTTAGTGTTTGCTCGTTCCATTTTCACATCTCGAGTAAATGCAGCTTTTCCTTTTGCCACATTTTCTTTCCTTCTATGTTTGTTTTGGAAAATAAAAGGATGAAGGATTAAACCAGTGTGCATTTCTTATTTTACAGATTTAGAAATTAGAACACCAGAAACAAATAGTTGTGAAATGGATTATTCTATGAATTTTCTGCCTGTCATTGTGGTGTTTAGAACAACTGCTTTTTCCCATGCCAGCTAGAATGATGTTGGTTATTCTAACAAGTAGAAATACCGGAACATATTAAATGACCTACGTCATCAGGTATTAAAGTTTTGTAGATACAATTTTAGAAATCTGATGCTGTTTGTTACTTTAACAACGCAAAGAAATTATGCTTTTGTCTGCTCTATAGCCTCTCTCTCTCTTAGACATTGCAAGCACTTGTAAACAGCTTTTATAGCATGCATTTTATCCACGGTGTGATCTAACTATTAGTGCTGACGTGAAGTGATTGGGTGGTCAGTAGTCAAGGTTGATGAATTTAAATTTGGTAAAATTACCTTTAACTGCTTTATGCAGCAGACCAAGATATCGGGAGAGAGAAAATGGCAGAGCAGTAGGTGAAGGTAACTTGAGAGGAAGTACTGGCAGTATGCAATCTGAGACTGCTACTACAAGTTCTTCCATGGCAACAATGCCGAAAGTTGTTCTATCAGGGGGTAGGCAATTTTCAGGCCAAATACCAACCATTCTACAATCACAAGATAGGCCAGATGATTACAGCAGTACTTATGAAGAAAATTTTGATGGAAGCAAGGACTCAGGTGACTCAGGTAGCATCGGTGATCCAGATTTGGTTTCAGCTCTTGAGGGACAATCGATTGTTTCGGGGTCCTCTCTAAGGCATGGATCTAGAGGTGGCAAACCTCGGCAGATTATGGAGCGAAGAGAACGAGAGAGCAGACGAGAAGGAAAATGGGAAAGAAAACATTGACAAGATATTTGCATGATTGTATGTATGTATTGTTACCTGAAGTTTCTGCAATTAACTCCCATGATCTCTCTCTGTATCCTCAAAAGAGATGATGCATTGCTGTGGTAGACCATATCAGCAGATGCCCGTCTCAAGGTGAGGCAAGTTTCATGAGCTTAGGAAATTAGTTTGGTAGATTTTGTTACAATTCTTCTTTCAATCAATTGATTTGTGTTTATAGGTGCTGTATAATACACATTAAATTGTATTCGCTGTTGTGATGTAAAATATAAATATAGGATTAGCTAAGCATGTGTCTTGATTGAAGTATAGATTTACTTGTAAATCTGGTGTTGCAGCATTTTTTTTTCATGTGAATTACTTCTTAATCTCTATGCTCAGGTCATATAATAATTGATAGACTGATACATCTAATGACTTTTTACCAGGCTGTGTACTGAATATTTATTAGATTTATTTTTTCCAGCTGATTTATACAAAAAAATTTCCTCACTTGTTCAAGACAATTATCATCATCATTCAACTTAACTCAAATAATCATTTGTTCTTAATGAAAATATAAATGTGTCCTGCAAGCACTGATGCCCGAGTTCAACTTTAATTCTTTAAAGATTTTGATTCCCTCATTTTCCTTTCCCTTGTGCTTCTCAATCCCCCCTTTTTGGCAGCAAGCAAAATGTTCTTCAACTGTATTCAAGTCACTGGTCGATGTCAAGAGTACAGAAGATAAGCATGATTAGTAAGAATAATGTACTTTCCAAATTTAGTTCTATTTTTTCTAGGAAGCAGAAAATATGCTTGTTTACTATGAATTATTGTGGGGCTGAAACGGGGTACGAATGTTTGTAAGACATGGTCATCATTCCAAAGTCCAAATGGCCAAGATTGGCCCAAAAAACTAATCTCTGTAAAAAATTTTAGTTGTCATGACAAAATTTGTAAAATGCTCCCATGTGTGCATTGTTCACGTACAAGAAAGTTATCAAGCGTTTGTAGGCCTTGCAGAATTTATTTTGAAGGTGAGTCTTGGTGAGAAGACATCTAAAATGTGCACCAAACTTTGAATGGCCACAATATAACTTTTTGCTTATGAGGAACTTTTGAGCTTGTAATACAACCTTGGAACACACTCCCATGGCCCTACATCAATGGAATAGCCAAATTTCATTGCATCCCAGTTTTTGTTGCCAAATTTTGCCCATTTTGAGGTCATTTTCCTATTTTCATAATACTTTCCTTGTTTTTTACTTTTTTTTTTATGACATTAGGGTGTGTATTGAGTTTTTATACCCCATGTCTTTTACTAGAATAATATTCCAGCTCTTATCAATAAATTTTCTTTTAGTATAAGCAGGAGGTTTCGAATTCAGAACCTCTCATTTACACTTCCTTTCCCTGCACTCCCTCCCTTTGAGCTTCTCAATTGCATTGAAAATTTTGCACCTGCCTGCTTTTAAGTTTCTTTTAAACTTCAAAGAAAAAATTGTTTCTCTTCTTCTTTTGGTGGCTTCTACATCAATTGTTCAATCCAAGCATAGAGTGAAATTTTCCATGGCCATGTATTTGCATTTACAACTAGTGTCTCGTGTTCTACAACGTACAGACGTACTAACATGTGAATTGCTTTGTATATTACATAACGCATTATTCACTACAAATTATTTGGACTCTGGGATCCTCATTGAGCCATATAACCGTTGTGTTGATGACTTGATGCTGGATCATCTATTTATGTGGCAAGGCATAATTATCAGTTCAATCAAGCAAACTCTTTTCTCTTTAGTTAGAAGGCAGGCAGACATAAATTGGTGGATATATATGCCTAATTTTTTTAATTTCCGGGTTGGGAAAGGAAACTATCATTTTTTATAGTACTTTATCTAAATTATGTCCTTCTTAAAAGCTTCAATCTGTAAGCCTATAATTTTTCCAAAAACATATAAAGTGGGCATTCTGTTGTGAGCATGATCTTTTACAAACCTAGTCCTTGCATGGATTAATTTCATGAGAAAAGGTGATCTATACCAACTCGTGGTCCTTGCATGATTTGATATTGGCAACTAATCTTTAATTATTGGTTCAAATACATCTCAATTAACCCAACAATCACACATGAATAGCAGGATGGTACTTGTTTTTGTCCTTTAATTCAAACAGTGGGACAAAGATGTTTGTGCACACGCAACCTTGTGTTTATTTGCCAATATAGCTCCATAATTCCTTTTTTGCGACCACCATCTTTTGATATTGCAGCAATCAAGTGCGAAATTTCTCACTAAAAATTAAATAAGTTCAAGTAGATTTTGTGCAAAAATTTTAGTGAATACTTTATTTTGGTCACAAAAATTATTAATAAAAAAACACACACAAGATTTTTATGAACCACAATTCTTGGTGACTGAAAAGCCAAATATTCGGCAATTAAAATTTGGTTGCCATACCCATTCAATGGTTGCTAAATGAGATGGAGGAAAAGAATAGTCTGCCACAACAGTTTTAGTGACCGTATTGGCGAACAAGATCTTTGTTCCATTGCTAATACTTTTCATACTATATACTTTTGCCACGAAAGGTATTTTTTTGTCACAATTTGTTTGTTCTAGATGCCATTCTACCTATGCTTGCCAAGTATTTTTGTCGCTGAATCCCAATTTGGTTGTAGAATTGCACATTAGTAATAAGTTTCAAGACAAGAGTTAAAAGTTTGGATTGTACATCACTGCTCTAATCATATTTGGTGGATTCCAAAACAGCTCCATTTACAGATTAAAGCTAGCTTGATCTACATTCCCAATCTCTATTCTGTAGTTGTTCAATTCTTGATACAATATTGTAGCGATTTTGGTCCCTAGACTGCCAAGCAAAGAAACATTACCGTGTCCCCAGCCAAACTAACATTATGTCAACGAATCATAGAGTTACATTCTAAAACTGCCTCTTCTTCCAATATTAATCAAGAAACCAAAAATCCAAAGCTGACAACTAGAAAATGCATGAACATATAAAGGGTAGAAACGCGTAATCTTTCAATTTTTGGAGTTCAGAATTTGGAGAAAGGCTGTATCCGTGGAACTTCAAAACAAAAAATTACTCTATTGCATGAGCTATTAAAAATTGCATTAGGTGTATGATAGGCCTAGATTTTTATATTGGGAAAGGAAACTAAAATCCATTCAAATTACGTTCTCTTTAAAGGTTACGAGCCCTTGACGTTACTTTTTCCCAAAAATCTATGAAGTGACAATTCAGTTATAAACATGACCTTTAGCAACACTAGCTGTTGCAGAGGTCAAGTTTGGTGGAAATAGGTGATGTTTACCAACCCATGGTCCTTGCATTATTTGAGTTTGGCAGGTCATTTTTAGTTATTATGCCTAATCCCTCTCAAATAACTAACAATCCCCCAAAGAATGATAGGATAGTGCTCCCACAGTTCCTCTAAATTCAGACATTGGGACAAACGTATTTGTCCCTTGTGTTTTCATGCAAATATAGTTAGCACTTGAGTGCAAGAAAACTTGACGATAGTGCGTACCCATGAGATGTCTTTTGTTTTTTTAAAAATTTTTGTCATACCCATATGATGTTACTCTATACAAATGCAAGGCATCTTAATTATAATCTACAAAAGTTACTAAACATGTGAAGCACCAAATCTTGGTATCAAGTACTAGATTCAAGATATAACATGTCATACCCATGAGATGTTACTCTATACAAATGTAGGGCATCTTAATTATAACTTGCAAAAGTCACTAAACATGCCATGCACCAAAAATTTGGGTATCAAATATTAGATTCAAAGATATAACATATATGCCATATCGTTGAGATGTTACTCTATTTAAATGTAAGGCATTTTAATTATAACTTGCAAAAGTCACTAAAAAGTATAACATTAAACATTTTGTTACAACTGCAATCAGTAATTTGAAAGTCATAACTTTGAAATGTAAAATTCTTGAATGACCACCGTAGCTCAAATATTTTAAAATGGGGGTAATCGAAACTTAGGACCCTAAAACTCAGTTATTAGGGGCTTGTATATATAGTTTGCAAGAAAAACGTAAATAAATGTAAAGTTTAGATACATTTGGAGCAAGGATAGCTCATTCTTGTTTTAGACCCTCATTTTACGCTCTTATCATTGTTGACCAGAGTTGCAATGAAATGTTTAAAGATTTAGTTTGTAGTATCTTGTATTCACTAATAATAGGTCTCACAAAAATGAAGTTCAAATTTAAATTGGAATTAATTTTTTTAGTTAATTGTTTTTATATTGGAAATTAATGTTATATCAAATTTACTACAATACATGTTTTAAATTGTTTGGAGATGAGGAGAGTTAAAATTTTTAATTTAAAGAACAAGTACGTACTTATATGAGCACTCCTTTTTCTAACAAAGTATAAACTCACATATATCCTTAGGAAAAAAAAACATTTTCTATATATGTATGTATTCCAAATTGTATACTATCGATAAGAAAGAAAAGATATAAAACAAATTAAAGATAAGCAGGAATTTTAGTTGGGAAATGAAAAATAAATATAGTTATTCTTTGGTTATGAGTTTGTCAAATTTCTATAGTTTCCCTCAAAGTAAGCATACTAGCGGAATTTCAGAATCCTCTCTCTAGTAGAGGAAGCTCTCTCTTGGGGTAAGAGCCAACCTCCCCTTGGTGGGGGTTTCAGTATGTTTTTTCAAACTTTTTCAAATTTCTCACGATCCCGCACTTTTTTTTTTCACACATTATTCCATCCATCACCACTACCAATCCGAGGCTGTATTCAAGGAAAGATTAATGCAGCTTTTATCATCGTACTCAAGGATGTTTAAGGATGTCTCTCCAGGGGGAACACAAAATATGCCGAGTCCTACACTTTATGATCAGAGAAAAGTAAGGTAAAACTTGATTTATCTCTTTTCCTTGCTCCAGTTTTCAGAGGTAAGGCCGGTACACATGCATTAGTTTTTTACAGCGTTTATCTTTTGTCTGTGCTTTCTGGTTCTTTGTCGTTAGTCTCGCTGGTCCTTTTTTACTGTGAAAGTTTTGGTCTAGAAGTGTTTGCTTTTGTCCCCTGTTTTTCCCCTTCGCTTCTTTACTTAATAGCTACTCTTGAGCTCTTCTGTTTTCTTTTCTTAGCTGGTAGTTGAATAGGTGTTACTTCTAAGTTCAGAGCGTGATTACCTTTTAGCATCTCAGTATATATCTATGGAGGGTGACTTAACTGATTTATTACAAAGATTTTCGCTGGAAGGGAATGAGATCTCTGGAGCTAAGTTGGAGCTGGAGGACCTAAGCAGTGGAGTTAAGGACTGTAAAGGAAGTCTGATAGGACGAATCATGGGTGAGAAAATAGTTAACTTCACCGGGGTGAAGAATTTTGTTACTGCAGCATGGAGT